AGTAACTGGGGCGGGATGCGGCGACTGGCCCAGCTAGAATATGCATAACACGTGAGTCACGTGACATATGGCTTTCTCGGGGCCCAAGAAATAAAATTGTCTAGAAACTCAGCAGTACGGTAGGAATGATTTGGCTGAACCGGAAAACTAAGGACACATGTACAAGCCACTATTCTTCATTTCCATTCGTAATCTTCGAAGAGACGAGTGAAAGCGTTCCATGCATCCATACCCTCTTGGCAACACGTCATTTGATGATCGACATTCTGAAGGCTATGCAAAATCAAATCTGAAAATATCTCATTGGTCATCATGATCTTGGGTTTATATGAAAAGCTTTGGCCTATATACTTGCCTGCGGCAAGAACTGATATGATGGAGACCATGTGTTATGCAATGAATGGAGGCCAAATGAATGATGGGATCGTACATAACCACATTCAGTAACCGAAATTCGACTGGTGTGTGCGCTCCTCTTAATACTTGTATCTACGACAACAGAAAGTCGAAAGCTTCAACCTCAAAATTGTGCTATAGCACAATCAGGACCCACATCACATGATGAGAAGAAACGCAGGATGCATAAACATTCAAGAATGGCTTCGACCACTACGAGGCTTGTGAACTTCTCATCGTGTCACGACCAGGCAAAATGATTTCGTAATGACGAACACGCAAAAGTTTGATAGGACCAAAAGAAATGCCTACTTCTGCATCTACGAAAGACGAGCTGGCGTTCCAAACTCATGGTCAACTATGACCCCTGAACTTTGAAGCTAATGCTATTGGATCTCGAACATTTTCTTCAACTTCACCACGAGCATCCAGTCGTCCCTAGTAAGGTCGTCCTGCAAAATGCAGATAATCGTCACAGCCTACGGTATGCTATGCCAACGACATTCTTTGCTCCCAATTTATATGCTGTCTGGACTGGTAACGTGCAAGAACTTGATTCGCCAATCATGAACAAGCGCGCCAAGGGCAAAAAGATAACCATCAAAAAGACTTGCACTCCGCAACCATCCAGCAACAGATCGTCTCAAACAGAAGCTCCCAACATGCAAAGGGCAAAATCCGGACAGCTTTTACTTACCCGATAATTCTCCTTAAGGAGGTCGATGCTCTTTCTCGAGATGTGGCTCACGAGTTCGTCGTCCTTGTCAAAGTGCCGCCCGTACATCTTCTGCGCCTCTTCCGCGTTCGTGCTCTGAATCTGCGGGGATGAAAGCAGACAATTCTGGGGACGCCCCGTGATCGAGAAAAATCAATTTCGAAGGCTCTCGGCGACGGTCAAGGTGAGTATACGGTACAATGTCCAGTCTGAGGGGGCAACTGGGACAACAGCAAAGGACGAATCACCAGCGACTTATCGAGCCGGCAGAGGAAGTTAGAAAGCAAGTTGCTGAACCATCTAATTCGATGCCAGCAACCAGACATAGACTTGCTGAGACATTCTGTCGAAAAGTCCACCAAAAGCTGGCAATTGGGCCAAAAAAGCAAAACGATAGATATCTATCACAGAGGCCGCCTGGCAAAAGAAAAGCGCTGGGATAGCCACTGTAATCACTTTTTCGTACCCTCCGTTTGTAACCTACGCGTGCACCGAGCCCCGGAGTGAGCTACAGCTCAATCTTTTGCTTCAAACTTTCCAAGCAGTGTCGTTTGCATACCTTGAGCGCTATGCTCTGGCCCTTCTTGGCTGTATCCACCGCTTTGTGGTTCATTTCTATGGACGCAATTTTGCCGATGTCGATAGTGCCCTTCGAGGGGACGCAAATGGGCGTGCCGACCTGCGAGAGCGAGTAAGGTCAGAATCCTAAACATTTTCAACACGAAACCGGACCATTCGATAGAAAGGGTGTTGAGTAAAGAGCAGACTAACAAGCGCGGCCCCCCCAAATCCCTTGCCTTGCAAGAACGCGCATTTCCAGCAGTTGTCCAACCAAAAAGAAGGGGGCAGAACAAGCATGCAGATGTCCCGGATGTCCAGAGTCCAACGTGCAAACGATGAAACAAAGGACATTTACTATAAGTTGTTCGCTCACCTTGGCGATACCGGCCACGACGTCGCAGCCGAGGATGATGGGGTCCTTTTTCATGAAGACGAACTGCGGCAGGATCTTGAGGATGCACGGGAACACCGCGTCCTCCGCCGCCTCCGCGCGCTTCTCCGCCTTGATGTTGCCCATGTACGCCGTGAACTGCAAACCAAAGGGTTTCCATGTGTCTTCGATTTACCATCAGTAAGCTGTAAGCTTCTCCACTAACGCCAAAAGCTGACCCCATAAATCCGCCTGCTCCGCACTCGTACCCACCCTAAACCCCCAGATTAACCTCACCCGTCGCAGCCTGGTTTACTAACCATTGCTAAAAGTTATTGTTGCTAGTTTGCGAAGTCCTGTAGTTTCCAGGTGGGTTTCGGACGAGCTACGAACGGCTTGGGTGGTTCTGACGCTTTGGGACGGTCTGGAGAGTGGGAATACTGTACATTGCGCCGGGTTACGTGGTCGGGGGTTGTTGGCCAAAAAGCGGGATATTAAGCCGAGAACGGTTTAGACGGAAGACTGCCCCTTTGAAGGGGGAGCCCTAGTGAGACCCGAGAGAACAGTAAATGCACGAGTGCTGGCTGCTTGCGGACCCGATACTGAATGCCGCAAGTGTGCAGCACGAACCAGCCTCAGATATTCGTCCCGGAAGCACGTAACAGAAGACTGTAACCCACACTGTGATCCACAATTCCGGCACACGGCTCAGCGAACAAAACTTTCAGATGTGCGACGCAGATTCTCTTGGCCACTCACCTAGCATACCCTTCAAGTACACCCTGACTTGCAACATCCCCTATTGGCCACTCACCTAGCATACCCTTCAAGTACACCCTGACTTGCAACATCCCCTATTGGCCACTCACCTACCATACCCTTCAAGCATACCCTGACTTGCAACACCCCCTAAGAAAGGAAACACGTTGCCGGATGATCCATTGCCAATTGAAACTTCCGCTGTGTTGCACCGCCCGCTCACCTGGTCGAACAGGTGGTAAATGATGTCCGCAGTGAACACTTTGACCCCCAGCTCCTCAGCCATGTCGCGCGCCTCGGGCGTGACCTTCACGTCGAACGCGAGGATGCACGCGAACTCCTTGCGCTTGCGCTCCAGCATGACGCTCGCGCGCATCACGTCCTTCTTGTGCACGGGCCCGATGTTGATGCCGCTCACCGGGATGTTCACGTCCGGGCTCTTGAGGAACTCCAGCAGCGCCTCCAGGGACCCCAGCGTGGATGCCTAATACGGGGTAAAGAGAAAGAAATCGGAAGTTAGCCGCTGTAAAGAATCAACAGGGGAAATCGGGGTTCGTTTCTGTGGGCTTGAGGAACTCCAGCAGCGCTTCCAGGGACCCCAGCGTGGACGCCTGGGGATTGAAGAAAGAAGTTAAAGTTAGCCGCTGATAGAATCAACGGCGGAGATTCGGGGTTCAATCTTGTGAGCTTGGGGAACTCCAGCAGCCGTTCCAGGGACCCCAGCGTGGACGCCTGGGGATTGAAGAAAGAGGGGAGCTTAGGCGTGGTCAAGAGTAGAAAGGAACTGACCAGATTCAGAGTTGGCTCCGCTGAATGAGTGTTGGCACCCCGTTTCTTGAGCTTCCTAAGCCAACCCAACTGACCCAAGTGGACGCCCGAACAAAGGCTTAAAGAACAGCTCAATGATGTGTGTAAAAAGAGTCGGCTGAATCTAGAGCAATAGAAAGCCAGCAGTGCCTTTCGGGGGCCATTTATGACGTAGACGGAACAGGAGGGTCGTAGCAAGCCTTCGATTCGACCACTTTACTGAGATGTTGCGGTCGGGAGCTTTCGGTCAGTTCCACAGGCTCCAAAAAGAGAGCCGTTGTACGAAACTGGGTGGCGAAGCTTTGGAAAGCGGCGTCCGAATCAAGGGCTCTCCAACAGCCCCGTTGTACGTGGCAACTTAAAGGTCCAAACGCTCTTGGAAATACAGAGGATCTAGCATGCCGAAGGCAGGGTCACGAACATGTAAACTTTTAGCGCGTGGCCCACTTGAACTCATAATAACATAACCTTCTCGATCCGAGACTCCGCGATTTGGTGCCCGCTCGTCCCAGATGGGTGGGTTTACAATAATGGCGCCAAACTTTTTGCCGGGCGCTTACCTGCACACAGACGCCCTCGCCGCTCTTGTCCACCCGCGACAGGATGCTGTTCATGTCCTGCATCGCCTCGTCCATGACGTCATCCACGTCGTCATCGGGTCCGACCACGTAGAGCTGTGTGCCCGCAACCGCGGACTCGAGGCCCTGCGCCGTGATCTTGATCCCCTGGGCGGCCTTCAGCTCCTTGTGGTGCACGTACGACCCCTGCAACAAGGAAAGTGCTCAAAGAATGGAGGGCTCTTCTACTTTGCAGCCGCTTTCTGTGATACTGGGTCCAGCCGAAATGCAAGTTCCGGGATACCTTCTTGAATGCAAGATTCGGCCTCGGTTCAATCAGGACAGCAAGGTCAATCAAGAGATGCGAGGGTTTTATGTCGGGTACTTGACAACCTCAGGCAAAATCCAAGCGACCTAGGTGGAAGAAGCGGGTTTTGGCGCCATCGACCAATGTCGTAAAGAGCTCAGACAGTGCGCAAAAACTGATTTACGGGTAGGGTTCTAGAGCCCCAGCCGAACCCTGAACGAGCATACAACAGAAGCACGAGGTCTACCGCGCTCACCTTGACCCGGAGCTCCTTCATGGGGTGCGGCGTGAGCAGCGCTCGGATGGACGTCTTGATGGGCCCCTGCAGGCCGCACACCACGATCGTGTCGCCCTCGTGGAGCACGCCGTTGACCAGGACCACGTCGATCGTCGTGCCCAGGCCCTCGATCACCTTCACCTCCAGCACCGTGCACTGCACAGGAGGAAAAACACGGAGTTCCGTTGATGATGTTTGAGAGCATACAAACAGCCCAGGTCCTTGATCACCTTCACCTCCAGCACCGTGTAACTGCAGAACAAACACGCGGGAGGTTGGTACTGAGACTGTCTTAATATTCGAAGTTGCAAAAGTGTGTGAGAATTTTGCCGTTGACCAGCACCACGTCGATCGTAATGCCCAGGCCCTCGATCACCTTCAACTCCAGCACCATGCACTGCAGAAGAAACTCGCGGGATGTCAGTACTGAGACTGACTTAAAACTGGAAGTTGCAAAAGTGTGTGAGAAATTTGCCGTTGACCAGCACCACGTCGATCGTCGTGCCCAGGCCCTCGATCACCTTCACCTCCAGCACCGTGCACTGCAGAAGAAACTCGCGGGATGTCAACACTGGACGGTCCTCAATTTGAAAGTTGCAAACGCCTTGAAATTTGCTGTCGACGAGCACCACGTCGATCGTCGTGCCCAGGCCCTCGATCACCTTCACCTCCAGCACCGTGCACTGTGCGAGGGAAGAAACAATCAACGACCTGTGGGCTATATTTTCCAAAAAGGAGGAGGCTTCAGAAGCTTTTTGTGCGAAAGTCGACCTGCCAGAGGCATCAACGGCCTTCACCTCCAGCACCGTGCACTGCGGGATGGGAAATTGTGAGACCCTTTGGTGAGATCTTTTTAGATCAAGGTAGTGGTGTTCGAAAGGTTCCGACCTGCCCAGGCCCTCGATTACCTTTACCTTCCATACCGTGCACTGCCGGAGAAACACGCGGGATTCCGCTACTGAGACTATTTTAAAGTTGAAATGGCAAATGTCTTGGAAAACTTCTGTAGAAGGATCGGACTGCTCGGATCCTCGACCGTCTTCCCCTCAATCACTGTGGACAGCAAAAGAAACATACACGAGCTTCATGCATGCGACTCTTCGAGTGAACGGTAAGTTCCAAAGGCTCTTGCCAAGAGTCGCACTGCCCGGGCCCCTGATCACTTTCCCCCTCAACACCGTGTCTTGCAAAGTGAAGAAAGAACGCTGGGAACTGAGACGATGCTGTCGTGACGGGCTGCCAGAGCCAATGGTTCAGTCATGCGGCGAAAGAAAAAGTAGAGTTTCATTTAACGTCGGCAAGCTGCAAAGTTATCTGCGCGAAGGTCACTGATTTTAAGCAAAGGGCAGCGTCGCCTTGAGCACAGCATCCCAACAGGCAGTTGGCGTAGGAACTTCGCTCCCCCACAAATTGACCGAGCTCGAACAATCTCAAGAGGGAGTATTCTCAGAGATATTGCTTTGATTGCACGTCTGAAAGTTTTACACGAGAAGTAGCCATGTGCCAAAAGAAGTGCCCCCCGACCATCTATGACAAGCAGGGCGCCTGACCTGCGTTTTGAAACGGTCCCCAAGGCTCGTGCTGAATCAACTTTCAAAAGAAACAAAAGCCTTGTCAGTTGCAACCATTGCCACCCCGCAATTCTACCCAAACATGCTAAACCCAGGTTACGCTAAACTGGGTGACTGACCTGCGTCTCGGAGAGGAACATGAGCTTCTCGCTCATCATCTTCTGCGTCATCTGCACCAGCAGCAGCAGCATGTCCGGGATGCCCTCCCCGCTGATGGCGCTCGTCGGCACGATGCTGATCACGCGCCGCGGGTCGTTGTTCTTCCAGTACAGCGCGCTGTTCAGGCCCTGCTCCTGGAGCATCCCAATCGCCTACGGGGAAAAGAAAGACAATCCTCTAAATCAGTCAAGATAAGCTCAAGTTATGATAGTAGAAAAGCTGACACACAAAATAATAGAGCCGAAGATTTTACCTGCTCCACACCCATGTCCCACCTAACCCACCCTACTGACCCCACTTGTCTCAGGCAAGTTGTCTCATTCTGGATTGAGCTGATCAACAAGGATCAAAGGTGCGCGTTCGTAAGTTTCGCTCCATCCTAGCCCACGTCGACGCTTTTACTGATTCAATGACAGAGTCCGCCAAAAGGTAGACGGATTGTGCATACTACAGTGACTCAAAGAGTGGCAAAGCCTTCACGTAGTGCATGTTCAGAGGCCTCCTTAAACCACTCGAAAGCATTACAACGTGAGCCAAAACGGACTATTGTGACCCATGTCAAAGTTCCTCTTCAACTCAGAGGGTATTGCCCTCACCTCGGCTGCTCGTTGGTCGAACTCCTTGCGCACGTGCTCGGGCTGGATTTTGAGCGCGTTCCGGATGGGCGCGTTGGACTGCACCTTCCAGTCGTACAGACGGTCCACCTGGCAACGGCCACAAACACGCTTGAGCAACTGGGTATCATACGGATAACAGCGAGGGGAGCGCGAGACCAAACCGGGAAGGCGCTCAATCTACAGCAGCTTGCAAGCTTTTATTACTGTACTTGTTTCCGAGATGTGCAGGACCAAGCCTGCAATCATGCTTGATGTTTGAGAAGTTGCATTCACATGCTGTTTCACAGGGTGTGTATGGCAGAGACTGGCAAGCTCCAAAAACTTTCTCAGTTGAAAACGAACAGCTCAGTGAGCAGACACTAGCGACCTCTGACTCCTCCTTCCACTATCAGTCAGCTTGATAAGCATCAATACTTGTCACAAGAACTCAAACGCGACTCCCTTGCATCCAGCGACTAACGTACCTTATTGAGCGCAATGATGAAGGGCGTCTTGCGCATCTTCAGCAGGTTGATCGACTCAACGGTCTGCGGCTCCAGGCCGTGCATGATGTCCACAACTAAGATGGCGATGTCGCACAGGCCGGACCCGCGCGACCGCAGATTCGTGAACGACTCGTGACCGGGCGTGTCGATAATGAGCAGCCCGGGAACCTGTCAGAGAGTGACGGCTAGGACTGTTATACAGAGAAGTGTGCACCGAGGGATGCTGAAGGAACTCCCTGCCAGCTGGAAGCACAACTACGTGGGAAGGAAGGAGTGAACGCTTTCAAAGAAGCAGATTGGCTTCGGTTGCCTAATAACAGATCTAGGGAGACAGACGAGCAGACGAAAAGTCGTGAGGCTAAACAATGACGAAAAATCTCGAGCACCCGAAGACCATAATTACCCGTTCGTCAGTGACCTACATAATAGACAGAGACGGAACTTCGGCCTCAGTCGTCAAAGGAAGTAGCATTGCATCCACGCAAGCCAACAGGACCGAAAAGAGGCAAATTGCACTGCTCATTATGACCCAGAAATCGACACGTACCTTGAGGGTTGCATCCGACTTGAGCTCCTTGGTCCGCTCCTTGATGGCGTCCATCGGGAAGAAGGTGGCGCCGATCTGCTGGGTGATACCCCCAGCCTCGCCTTCCTGTACAAGAGCAACATGAGATACCGTGAGTACGACCAGAGCAAAATAGCATACCGTGAGTAAGACAAAGACAAAGGAGGAGCCTTCACTTTCCTCGCGGGTAAAGAGGCCCAGGGAAAGTAAGAATCGTAAACCGGCTGGACAGGTGCCGAACCAGAAGGGAAGTAGAAGCGAAAGCCCGTGAAGCTCCTCATTTGAGATGCGGAACCAGCCAATCGTCCTGATGCGCACCACAACCTTCCCGTTCTCACATTAACCAAGTCCGTCCCTCGCTTTGCAGCACACTAGTCTCATCGGAGCATACTAGCAACCTGAAACCATACAATCGCCTCGTTACCTGCACGTTGGTATTTCGGATGCGGTCCAGCAGCTTCGTCTTGCCCGTGTCCACGTGGCCCAAGATGCAGCAGATGGGCGACCGCAGGTCGTTCTCGTCCCGCTTCGCCATCGCCTCCTTCATCCGCGCCTCCCGCCGCTTGCGCGCCTCGGCCCTCCTCCTCTCGTCTACTTCGTCCTCACTCGACTCCTCCTCCGACTCGGTCTCGCTGTCTTCTTCGTCAGAGGAAGATTCTTCGGCCGGCTGCTTCCGGGGCCCTGCTTTGTGGAGGATCGCCGGCCGGCTGGCGGCGGGCTTGGCGGGCTCGTCTTTTTTCGCCGGTTTGGCTTCTTCTTTTTTGGCGGGCTTTGGAGAAGCGACGCGTGCGGGGGTGTCGTGCTCTTCCTGCGCAGCATAGGGCACCAGGTGTTATGAGGACTTCTAGGCATAACAGAGGGGTACAACTGCACCCCGTTTTCCTTGAAGCAAGGGGGACGATCTTCACAACGTACACAAATGTGCAACTTGATGTCTTGGGGTGCACAGAGTGTCAAAGGTTGGACCCTCAAAGGCAAGCAGTAAAGGAGAAGAACAGGCTACTTGCACTTGCTGAGACCAGACATCCGTCCAAAGCAGAAGCAGCTGCTACCACCCAGCTTCTCTCGGGATACAATCAAACCCGAAGTCTTCCCTTTCTGCAGAATATTGCCAGCATAATCCACAGCAACGTAGTCCGGCGTCCCTCTTTAAGTTGAACCGCGCAGATCCTGATTGATTGCCGGCCACTGCACGCCCCTCACCTCGTCCCTGAACGCCCCCGTCTTCTTGAGCGTCTTGTCAACCTCTGCCTCGTCCCAGCTCTTGGCATCCCAGTCCTCCTCTTCCGACTCTTCCTCCTCTGCCGGGGGTTCGGGGACCTTCTCCGCCGGAACCTCCTCCTGGACAGGCTCCTGCATGTCGACACGACGCAGATTGAGCGCCCATTGACCAACTATTCCTGCCCATTTTGTTTACGTGCAGCAAATTCACCGGGCCCTGCAAGACTGTTACTTATCCCAGGCTTAATGCACGTGGAAGAAGGATCAGCACAGAGTCCTCAAATAGCGGAAGGGCTGGACGAAAGCGGGGAAGTACAACGGCGGGCAAAGGGGTTGCTGAAGATGCACATGAGACTGAGAATGCAAACAGAGCGGTCTTGACTAGTAAGCCCGTTCGAGGCTGCTTTCTATAGTGCAAACCTATCATCACACAATTGCAACAAATGACAAGCACTGCAGAGCAAGAGCAAACAGGTTTTGGAGCTTCTGTTCACAGCAACTTGCAACAGACGCCCCGAATCTTGCAGCCCACAACTGTAGCAAAGGGTTGTGAATGTAAAGAAACTTCAGCTTACCGGCGCCTCCTCTTCCATTGGCTCTGGCTCGGGGGCCGGCACCGGTTCCGGGGAGACCTCCTTGGGCGCTGCTTCCGCAGCTTGCTTGGACGGTTGCCGAGACTTCTTGGTGCCGTACACCACCTGTGCGGCGAAATCGGGTTCAGATCTTAAAACTCCGGGCGGATCTTACAAAAAAAGGTACACTGGCATACCACACCAAACGAAACACACCGTTCACTCAAAGGATTATTGGTTGGAGTGAACGCAATTTGGGTCGACAATCACGATTGGACCCCGTGCATCAACAGCGCACAGAAACAGCTTTAGTCCGTGAGACAAAGCTCAGACGCCACAATGCCGCACCGACAGCCACGCAGCTCTACACTGCCTGATCACCAAAAGGGTACTATACAGTGATTTACGACTGTCTCGGGTTTCACAGGAAGAAGATGCAACCCGCCGATGCTCTGTATCATCCCGCTTACCTTCTGTTTCTTGGGCGCGGCCTCGTCCCCGTCGAGCTTCACCCCTGCCTGCTTGAGCATCTGCTCGCGCACCGCTGCGAGCCGCTTGGCCTCCTCCTTCTGCTTGCCCGTCAGCAGCTTGCCCTCCTTCTTCAGCTGCTCGCGCTTCTCCTGCGGAATGGCCAACGAGACATGTGGTGAATAGACGGGATAGGCAAGTGGCACACCGACTTGTGCAGAACGAACGGCAAACGAGGACTTTCGTACAATCGTAAAGACATGGACACCGTGGGCTACAGAAGAGGGAGTAGGCTGAAACTACAGAAGCAGGGTTGGGACTGACAACTCTACTGAAGCGGAGACGAAAGAGGAGTAATCTTGATTTGAGCAACAGGCGCGCAAACGATGTGTCAAACTAAGATAAGCCAAACGCAGCTAAACCGTGAACACCTAACTGAGGCAAGCTTGGAAGCAATCTCACGCACCTTTTCTTTCTGCTTTTTTCGCAACTTGGCCTCCTCTTTCTGCCGTTCCAACTCAGCCAGCCGGGCAGCTTCCTGTAGGGAACAGACAAACGCCAATCAACCAGTCGCACAACCCACCAGACCAGCGCAAGATTGACGGGCCCAACACAAACTGCATGCCACTCTCATAAACCTGTGTCGAGGAACCTTTCTCACTCTACACATACAGCCACACATACTGCTTGACAGTTCGTCACAGACATAAGCGAATGTCTGCAGCAACGGCACGCGCTGCATCTGGACTCACAATCAAGCTCTGGCCTCCGAAAGCCGTTCGTTTCCGGACCCTCCAAGCCTAAAACGCCTCTGAGGTGAGGGTATTTCTCCAGGAGACCTCATTGCTTCTCAACAACAAAACCTAAGAATCTACATGTCCTATCTTCAGGCTTCAGGCCACAGCACTCTAGAACACCCTAAAGTGGTATCGCATAGCCCCTCACCTCCTCCTCTTTGCGCCGCCGCTCCTCCTCCTCTTTCTTCTTGCGCTCCTCCTCCGCTTGAAGCTTGGCCAACCGCTCCTGCATCTGCCGCACGTGCAGCGGCAGCTTCTTATCCGCGGCAGCCTTCTTTTTCTTCGCCTCCTCCTCTTTGGCGCCCTCGTCCTCAACCACGGCAGCCTGTGAGAAAAGGTCACGGCATCAGACGAGGCATCCCCAAGCAGTTTCTGTATTCAACAATGCAGCATGCAGGCTGGTGTCCCTGCTCCATTTTGAGCCTTACCAGATGTGACGCGCTTGCCGTTTCCAGAACCGAAGCAGAGAGGTCCTAACAGCAGACAGGAAAGGTGATAGTACAGAACTTAAAACTACAGGCAACAATCGGTGGTCACAGCACCACCAGAGCACTACTTTCGGTTGGCTAGAGCTTGCGAAATGGCCTCCGTTGCGCACAGCCTGTCTGCCACTGACCTTGTCGGCCGACTTCTTCTCTTTCTCCTTCTCTTTCTTCTTCTTCTTCTTCTTTGCCGCCGCAGACAGCCCCTCATCCCCTTCCTTCTCCTCCCCTTCTCCGGCCGCCGCCGCAGACAGCTCAGCCTCTTCCGCTTTCGAAGGCCCAGTCTCCTCAACGGCAGGAGCAGGCGCAACACCTGGCGCTGGCTGCGCTTCTTCCTTCTTGGGCCCCTCAAGCTCCGCCAGAATGGCGTCGATGTCTTCCTCTTCCTTTTCGTCCTTGCCTTTCTTGCCCTTCTTCTTTTTCTTCTTCGACCCGGCGCCTTCCTCCTGCGGTGACCAACAATCAAGTGAGACAACAACGTTCGATGCAGCATTCACCTGCTCGTGGTCAGCTAGCAGGCTCGATCAATCCCGTGCGTTCTGCTTCACTTGTCACCAACTATTACACAAACGGTTTGTGCACACACTCTGCTCCTTCAAACCACACTTTTTGAATGAAAATGAAAAGTGAGCGCTCCGATATGAAATCAGACAGCATTGGCCTCTGAAAAGGAGCCTAAAGGGCAAAACGAAGTTCAACGGGCTTTGTGACTTAGGATGCTCGCAAAGCCCCAGCAAGCCAGAAATGTGCAATCTCAAGACGGAGGAAAGCGCTCCTTCCAGATTCGGTCCAATCCAAAGTTACTCACGTCCTCCTTCTTAGGCGCCTCCAACTGGGCCAGAAGCGCCTCAATGTCCTCGTCCTCCTTCTTGTCCTTGCCCTTCTTCCCCTTCTTCTCCACAACCATCGGTTCCGGCGCTGCGACCGGCGCAGGTTCGGGCGCTCCCGCACTGTCTTCCATCTCAAAGTCCTTATCAAAATCGTCTTGGGCAGCTTTCTTCCCCTTCTTCTTCTTCTTCCCCGCAAACACCACCGCCTCGCTGTCCTCTTCCTCCGCAGGCTCGACCGCATCGGCCTCAAAGTCCTTGTCAAAGTCGTGTTGTGCTTTCTTCCCCTTCTTTTTCTTCTTCCCCGCAAAAACAACCCCCTCGTCCTCCTCCTCTTCAGCGGGTACCTCCGGCTCGACCTCAAAGTCCTTGTCAAAATCGTCCGAGGGCGCCTTCTTTCCCTTCTTCTTCTTCTTCCCGGCAAAGACTGCACTCTCCTCTTCATCCTCCCCGTTTTTTTCATCCGCCACCGGCTTAGGGGCCTCCTTCTTTCCCTTCTTTTTCTTCCCCGCAAACACCGGCGCTTCTTCTTCGCTCTCCTCGTCTTCCACAACAGGCGCAGGCTTTCCCCCCTTCTTCTTCTTCTTCCCTGCAAACACCAGCTCTTCATGCGAGCCCTGCTCCATCTCACCCACCTTCGGCGCAACCTTCTTCTTCAACCCTGAAAACGAAACCGCTTCCTCGTCCTCTTCTTCACGAAGAGGCCTTGTCGGCGACGCCTTCTCCCCTACTGCCGCCTCATCCCCCAGTTCGATCGCCTCGTCAGCAGGGCCTTCCCACCCCATCTCAGCCGCCCCACAGATCATCCCGTAGCTCTCCACCCCCTTGATCGTGGTTTTCTGAATCAGCATCCCGCTTGACGGTATTCTGCTCCCAACCCGCGCCACAATCACTTTCAACCCCTCCCTCACATTCTTCCCTCCGCACACAATCTGTAGGGGTTCGTCCGAGCCGACGTTGACATGGCACAGCCGCAACTTGTCTGCCTTCTTGATCTTCTCAACGGACTCAATTTCGCCGACCACTAGGCACGGTTCTGCGTCATCCTCTGTATCCTCCAGCGATAAACCGGCGAAACCGTTCAGTTTCTTGGAGGGTTTCGGAGCTTCCTGAAAGAACGCAATAAACGAGCAATCAGATACTTCCCCATCTAAAGGGAAGGCTTGCGAAGGGTTTGATAGGAAAAGCAGAAACCAACACAACAGGCTCTGATCTCGAAGGTCACTAAAGAGCTCCAATGCGCAATTGCGGAAAGTTCCTCCATAAGCTGGAGAATTCAATGTCCATGTCTCTGCTTGAAGCGGGGCTGCAACAGGGGATTGGTGCTTCAAAGGCCGCTTTCAAAGCACAAAAAACATATCCAATGGTGGGACCTCACAAGGAGGAAAAGCACTAATGCGCGCTCCAGTCTGATCCATGCAGGGGTCCGTCATAGAGGATGAGGACCAGGTTCAAAGAGATCTCTTAGAGATTGCCATTCGCCACCAGATCATGTCTAAAAACTCTCAGAAACCCTTGAAATGCTGAACCCTGCTCAGCATCTAATGTCCAGATTGATCTTTCGTGCAAGCAAACCATTACCAAAATGCCAAGAAGTTCTGCAGATGCTGCTCGTAGAGGCAGATAATCTATGCAGTAACACTGAGTATCCACAACATTGCCAAACGAATCCAAAGCTCACAAAATGTGCACCACTCCGAAAGTTGCTCAGAGTGAGGGTTCAATAAGTAAGGGTTTATGCGAGCATAAATGGTCGCCGCCTTACCTCTTCCTCCTCATCGCTCTCTTCGTCCTGAAGTGCAGCAAACGACACCGCCTTTTTCCCAGCCCCACCCTTTGCCTTCCCATTTGCCGCTGGCTTCTGAATTTCCTCTTCCTCCTCATCCTCCTCATCCTCGTCATCAATGTTCAACAGCGCAAAAGTAGACGCCGCCTTCTTTGCGCCAGCTTTGGCCTTGGCAGGAGGTGCCTCTTTCTTAGCTGGCGCCACCTCCTCTTCATCTTCGTCGCTCCAGTCCCCCGCCCGGCGCCCCTTCTTCTTATCCTTCTTCTTGCCCCTCCCTTTGGGAACTGCGCCCCCTGCAGAGGGGGCCTCAGAAGCAACCTCAGATGCATCGTCCTCAATATCCACCTTGAAGTCCTCATCAAAGTCATCGTCTCCTCGGCCCTTCTTCCCCTTCTTCCCTTTCTTCCCCTGCTTCGCACCTGCAGGCTCGGTCTCCTCCTCCTCTGGTTGCACAGCAAAGTCGTCATCAGAGTCATCATTTCCGCGCCCCTTCTTGCCCTTCTTCTTCTTCCCACCGGCAGCTGACTTTGCAGGGACTGCGCCCTTTGCACTCCCTTCAACACTCTCATTAGCATCGCCCTCGTCGGCTACGTGACCTTCCTGCCCTTCCTCTGGCTCAACTTTGAAATCGTCATCAAAGTCGTCCCTCCCCTTCCCCCGCTTCCCCTTCTTCTTGCCTTTACCACCTGCAGGCTGCCCTGCAGCCGCCGCCTCAACCTCGTCGTGCTCGTCGTCATCGTCTCCACGTCCGCCACCTTTCTTCTTCGCCATGCTTGATCAGCGCTGAAGTGTCACAAAAGGTCTTGAACTCCCATGCAGCAAGACCTTTCCGCCCCGCCCCTACAATTATTACAAGCTGCAGAGATTCTGTTGAGCCCTCTGATCATACATGAGTGAACTGGCGAGCGCAAAGCTTGGATGATGGATGTCATGGTCGCCAAGAAACCTGGCGACACCGCTTCCGTTTTAATAAGTAAACGCCGAGGTCCGATCACTTCTAGTCGCCCAGGTAGGGGCGACTATTTCACCTGTGTTTACCACGCTCGGTCGCCGTCTCCATCGACCAGCAACTTGCGCATAACGCGCGCGCCGGCCGGCCGGCACCTGGCGGCCGCCGCGCAGGGCGGCCGCGCTAGACGGAGATTTCATGCCCGCACGCGGCATCTCGCTTCAGAACATTATAGGAAGGTCCAGCAAAGGTCCAAGGAGCTAAGTCTTACACTCGTACAGCTGCCCTCGAGATGCAAACAAGAAGTACGACGTTGCAGGTTCCTTCAATTTTCTGATGCTAATACATCCACTCATAATCATACAGTCCCACCAGTAACGTCGTACTTACTACTGTCGTACTTACTGGTCAGCCGGCACACTGCTTCAAAACGATTGGACAATCAGGTGCCTGTCGGGCAGAACACAGATATGAAGCGGCTTAGCACTGCCGGTATCAGGTTGAAGCGATGCATAATACGCTTCAGCGCTATTTGGAAGCACCTGTATATTACGCTGGCTATCTATCAGATCTATCGGTTAGTTTCAGAGGCGAAGTGACAACATTTGACCGTTCAAATGACAGCGCCGCAAGTGCGAGAGCTTCTCGTGAAGAGCGAGTGTGCATTGAGCTTCAAGTTGATGAGAATTGCAATCATTTGCAGCGCGCGCGGGAGGCATCATGAGCGGTTGTAGACTTGAGGGCCAGACCTGAACTCGGTACTAGTGTGCCAGGGTTCCGTGTCTCAGGATGCTTATCACGGTGCTCAGATAATGCCCAAGATCACGTCTTCGTCTCTGCAAGGCTCTTGCTCAGGTCTCTTGAGCAACTAGACGGGGCTTGGCCAATAAACGCTGGCTAAGGCAGGTCAATAGAACCAAAGCAGTAGGACGTCGCGAGCAGACGGGTCCCTTAACTCTGGAGGCTTCTGGCAAATACAGGGAGGGGGGAGAATGAAAGTCGGCTTCGATAATCAGCCTCAGAACATCAGCCGCTTCATTCGGCGCACTCCAACTCCTTTTGTAGAAGGGCCGTCCTCGACTGGGCATGTCCGCACTGCATGAAAGCGATATGTTGGACCCCAGTTTGCAATCCGACTCCGTTCGGCTCCAGTATACGGAGGCGATCTTGGAGGGCAGGGTTATATGAGGTGTTGACTACTTTATATTCAAGGATAAGAGGTGCTCAATTCAACAATTTGCCACAAAGATACCGTCATTGGTTGATCATCATGAAAGGGTAAAGCTTAGTACAAAATACGATCGAAGCCTCGATCGAGTGCATGAGGCATTCTGAAATTCAAGGGTCGCAGCTTGATCTGATTAAGTTACTTCACATGCAGCCGACTATATCCGACCCGGCATGTCCTGCACTTGGTGCATGTCTACCGTTTATAGCTAGCTGCCAATTGGGATTGACCGTTGCTTCATGCTAGCTGCACCGGTGGGCCATGCAGCAATTCTCTTGCTTCCAAACGGTCATCATTGGGCCGGGGTATATTGACCGTCTGCAAACGAAGCCCCGCGCGCGCCTCGGCGATTCGCCACCGACTAATTTGACCGGAGTGCTGGATGCGATTTTGATCATGTCCATTTCCAAGCACGACGTGACTGAAACATGTACCGCAATCTCAAATGTGGAATGCTCCGGCCTGTTGAGAATTGGCGAACCATGTCTAACATACATTCGATCAGCACGGCCGAACACAGCTAGACCGATCAATCTATCTACATGCATGGGGCCCCCATTATGAACGGCTGAGCACAACTCTAGAAAGCTGTCAATGCGGCAAGCCGTGCGAGAATTCTGACCTCAAATGACCGTCCCTTCGATGGGTTGCGAGTTGCTAAATGCAAGGCCGATGCCAGAAAGCTGACCGGGACGGTTGTGACACCGTCGGAGTTGAACAGTCGGTTGCGAACCAGAACACCTTAGATACACAAGCTGTGGAACCTCAGTCTCGCAGCGCGCTGGGCCCATTATACTTTACAACTTGACGCTTCGTATATGAATCCTTCTCAAGCTATGGACCAGAGTCAGAGGCTGATGAACGAAGCAATGCAACGCGCAAGGTGCGCCTATCATCTACAAGCTACAGGGAGCATCACTCCTTAATATGTTTTGACGGCCGCTCAGTTGCGAGGCCCTTGAAAACTTGGGGCTCGGCTAGTGTTACAAATCTCGCTCAGCTCGTATAGCCAATCCTCTGACACCAGGTCCGATTCCGCCGTTAAGGCGGTCCCAGTGCAAGAGTAGCCCAAACGCATGAGTTATAATTATGCATAGGTATATGCAGACCCCAATCAAATGAAACCCGAGATCCTTTCTGACCCAGTATGCTGACCCTCACGCTGGTCTTTGACAAATAAGTTAGGCTAAGGCTTGCTGATTTCCGCTTGCTTCAATGGGAAGAAGCGCGTCAGCACCTGCCGCAGCTGCTTCTGATCCAACGGCTTACTCAAGTAGTCCGTCATTTGGGCCGCCAGGCACTTCTCCCGTACGCCCTCCTGCAAACGCGCGAAGCAGGAATGAGACAAGCACCGGAGGCCAGGCGACGTACGCTGACAAGACTATTGAAGTACCAGGGGCACAAAACAGACGATTGAGTACCGTCTATTAGTGTCAACATGTGAATATTCATTTCATGTTGGTTGTCCCAAAGCCGTTTCTTCTGCAGTAAAGCCGTGTTTCGCAGGCACGCAGAAAACTACGTCACGTCCCTCACCGATTAAGGGGTCACCGAGATCCATACTGGTCCACAAGCAGCAAAGGACAAACAGTATTCAAGGGCAGAAACGTAGCAGCCCTCTCATGACGCATACTCGCTCTCACAATCAAAATTGAATCAACAGTGCAAAGTCTGCACAGTCAACGTACCATGACGTCAGCTGTCAGCGCCACGATCGGCACTCCCTGAGCCCCGTCCTCGCTACCCGCCCCAGGCTTGGCGCTGACGACATCAGACGTTAGCCCGTCCGCTTGTCGGACGTCCGCAGTGGACACGTGTCCATTCGTCAAGCCCCGAGCTTCGGCCTCCAATTTCCGCATTGCCATCGCCGCCTCGAAGCCGTCCATGCCGGGCATCTGCAAAATACAATGGTGCACGTGTCAATGTCAGATGACTGCAAAATGTACCCGAACCCTGCGCTTCAAAAACGGGCTTGGCGCGCAGTTTGTGAGGCAGACTAGTGTAGGATTCTAGGACCAGACATTATGCAGGGAAGGCCGCACTGGGATCGTCTTGTGAAGCAGGCTTCGTGTAGAATGTAGACCAGGAAGGGCGCAGTAAAGGCGGCACTAAAAATACGGGTGACACGAAGCGCGCTCATCATTTGGACTGGCCGAAGGGACCGAAACCAACTTTCTAAAATATAATGTCAAACCGATATGTAATGACGACCGATGCTATCACGACCGGTGCGTCGAAACTGCGCTCGACACTGTGAACCCACCTGCAGGTCCATGAGGATCATGTGGAACGGCGTTCCGCCCGCTTTCCGCACGGCTTCCACGGCGTCCTCTCCGCCGCCGACCGCGGTCACTTCTGCGCCGAACCGCTGCAGCATGCTGCTCGCCACTTTCCTGCAAGGGGGTGATCAAACGTTGTTCAGATCAAAGTAAAAGGGCACTCTCTCGGTGGGGTACGGGGGAAGGGTGCGAAAGTATACCCGCTCTCGAGGGGGGCATGGAATGTGCAACTCCTACCAGGGGGGAAGGAAAAGTCAAACGCTTCGTCAGGAGAAGGACAAACCCAAGTTTTGTCCTAAGACCGTAAGCTATGTCGTTAGAAGCAAGACTTGTTATAAGAAGGTTGGACCTTATGTTTAACCTGACAATCTGAAGTGTCCTGTGGTGTCGCCGAGAAGGGTCGAGAACCGGCTCACCTGTTGATCAGCATGTCATCCACGACCATGATTCGTTTGCCCCGCAGCCACATGCGCAGCGCCCCCCCCGCACTGTCGGGCGTCGCTGAACGCTGCCGGCTCATGGCCACGCCCAACGCTTGAAGCATACACACCTCTACAGTGCCCATGCGCAGCGGCTTTACGAGAACCTGCAGTTGGGGAATAAATCAAGTTAGGTAAACCCTTTCGGAATGTTCTCCAGACGAATTACCCATTCGACTTGATTCAAAGACTGCGGCCCCTGCTCGAAGCTGCATTCTCTTTGCTGGTTCCTCTGCTCGTGTGCGTGATAATTACTTTCTGCTTACGTTACTCTTGGCTGATAGACCCAAATAGCATCTTGTAACTCTCGTTCTCTACTCTCATGCACAGTGATACTCTTTGCTGACATCCTTCCTTGCTTAAAAGAGAGGAATATTTACTGTTGTCAACTACCACCCAAATTGCTCTCCTTCTCGAACCTTGTTCAACGGGCCCCTCACCTGTCCAAAACCCGCCCACTTGGCTTTCGCCTCCAGCTGCGCGCTGGTTTGACACGTGGCCATCACAAGGCCTAGCCGGCCCGCCAGCCGCAAGTCCGTGGATAGCTGCTGCCCGATCTGCCGGGCGGTGTCATGTCCCCCAACCGCTTCAACGTCCACAATCGCCAGGCGGAAGCGGTCGGGGGAGTCGACACACGCGGCAAGGGTGTCGGCGGCGGTGCTCGAGTCTGACACGACGGGCTGCATATCGAGCCTGCACAGATGAGCGCAAAGTCAGGTAAAAGGACGCATGTTGACAGAGGGTTACGCTACGCAGAAGAACCCGGAAAACATTCATCTTGGCGACCAGTTCGTTCCATCCTAAGATGTAGGCAGGACTAGCGAACTGTTTTTCCGAACGAATACAACAACGGAGATGCTTTGAACCAACCAACCCAAAAGGAGTCCATGTCGGCGTTCGAGCTTTCCAATTACACGTACGCGCCCATTCTAGAGTTTCATAAACGATACAATACCGGTCCCTGAGACCTTCTCTCGACTCGGATCACCAGGGGCTAGGTCCTGAGACAACGCACGCCAACCTGGCCCTCAATCGAATCAAGGCTTGGCTCCGGGCCAACGGCTTTCCCGCGGCGTCTTACCGCCTGAGGTGCGCTGCAACGATCTCCCGGCGTGCCGCGTGATTCCCGACGACGAGTATCCGCACCCCGGCCAGCTGTGCGGACTGCGCCGACTGCAGCCGCAGCGGCATGCTACGTTGGGCGCCCGTCTCGCAGACACGCAGCTCCACGTCGAACTGCAGGGACAAAAGGAATGACGTCAGCGGTGCTGGAGAGGGATCAAGAGAAGTCCGACGCAAATCTAGTGAGGGGTGGCGCCGTAACGTTCTGATTCGATGATGGCTCAACGGTCGACAGCTTCCGACAAACCCGAGGCCCCCGCAACCTCGCTCCGAAAACATCCAACTTTTCCTGCAGGAACGAGGAGGAGGCACGATCCCATACAGAAGAACGGCCTCATGTTGACATTGAGCCCCGGCCATGAAAGACTTAAAGAGTAATCTGAGATGGATCAGGCCTGGCCAATGGGCTGATGAACCTGGGGTTGCTCTCCCAAACAAAGCTGCAGTGCGCCCTTCCCACATCCAGAAGCCTGCAATCTCTGACGTACAAGCACACAAAACCCGCACACGTGCCCACCTGGAACGTGCTCCCTACGTCGGGCGTGCTGCTGAAAGCGATGCTGCCGTTCATGAGACGCACCAGCGCGCGGCTGAGGCTGAGCCCGATGCCGGTGCCGCCAAACTCGCGCGTGATGGACGAGTCCGCCTGAAAGAACGGCTCGAAGAGCCGCCGCTGCACCGCCAGCGGAATGCCGATGCCTGCAAACGGAAGGACGGAAACCGTTTGCAGACGGTGCACCGTGTGCAACGCAGGGCCTTCCGGCCTGATGAAGTGGAACAGAAACCTTTCCAGCGGGAAGAGGCGTGCGTGAATTCTGTGAGGCCCCCTTGAAGAGTGAGGTCAGGTTCAACCGCCACTTCCGCGATACCACGGACAACATTCACTTCGAAGGAACCCTTTCTGGAAACAATAATCAAACGCCCCCGCTATCCTCTCAACCGAAAAAGATACGTGCTTGCTTGGGAGAATGAGGGTTCAAGACATACTTGCTTTCAGGGACACGGAGGGTTCAACAAACACTTGCTTTCAATCCGAGGTGAAGCAAACTTTCAGGGACACGGATTGCAACTCTGAAGACATACCTGTGTCCTCTACGGATACGACAAGCCGGATCCGTCTGCTCTGTTGGTAGACGGGCGACCTTATCTGGTCGTCGTCACCAGCCCGCCTGCACGCATGCACAGGTGTCAGCTGCTGTCTAAAAACACCCGGGCAGCAGACCGAACCGCATCGTGCTTCTGTCAGTGCAGGCGTTCAGCATTAGCTGACCAGAGGAGGCATGAAGAGCCCCAAGAACCCGTTTTCAGGAACATCCTACTTTTTCTAACAAAAGGCAGAAGTCAAATGCAGCCTTCGCGACGGCACCTTAAGACTTCTTCTCTGAAACAGATAGATGAATGAAAACAGCCCTTCCCGCCATAATCAGACTCAAAACCGTCCAGACATCGCAAGCAGCTCTTGCACAACGTCTTTCCAAAAACGGGACGAGAGTCACACCGCAAATAACATCGCTTTTAAGATTCCTGCCAAGAGTTCGCTGCCTTCGCAGGCGGAATCGCAGGACTACTGGTTCCACCTGTACGCTTCGAGGTTGCTTTGCGCCCCTGGCCGCAACGAGATGGGGGGGTCCACTTCCCGCACGTAGCCCCCTGGACTCTGCCCCCCCGCTTTCGTTCCTTCATCAGCTTCCTCCTCCAAAGGCCCCTCCCAGTCGTCCCCCCGCCTTAGACATGGACACCTCTTTTTCCTCGACGCCCGTCCGCCTTCCGATCCGTTCTCCCCTCTCCCGCTGACCTCCGCTGTCTCCTGCCGGCTCCGCTTGTTCGCACCCGCCCGCCCGCTGACGTCACTCCGGGCCTCGCTGATGTCATGCACCTCACACTTGGCCCCGGAGCTGCTCGGACACAGCTGCCGTTCGTCTCTGAATTCGGCGGCGGTTGACGGGCGATCGGCGGGGGCGGGCTCGATGGTGATTGCATGCGATTCGGACGCCGGACCCGGCTCGTCGTCCAAAGTCTCGACTCGGACGTACACAAACACGCTCCCCGACTTTGTGAACTGCACGTTGCAAGCAGAATTTAGTGAGCAGAGAGGCGAATTTGAACATGAAGACTTTGTCTGTGTCCCTATCAGCGATGCCAGACGTGGACAACGGACCTGTAGAGATCCGATTCAAACCGCTTGCAACCAGTTAAGATGCAAGTCTGCTCTCTTTGATCGAGCCGGCACGAGCCTTTTGCGCAGAACAAGAGTCTATGCTCTCGGGCCACCGAGCCTCAAAATAGACGGATCCAAGGTAACCGAGGGTGGAAGGACGTACGAGCAACGAGCGAACCAAAGACCCAAATGACCGGTTCAAAGCCCCGGACACAGGTTTCTTATGCCAGCCTGCGACTCACCTTGACGGCATTCCCCACCAGATTGATCAGCACCTGTCGTATCCTCCCCGGGTCGCCCAGAACCAACTCCGGAACGCACTCCTGAACCAGCCCCGCCAGCTCCAGGTTCTTCTGCCGCGTCCTGTTTAAGATGCAAAAAAAGAAAGGATCCGGCTACAGCTCTGCGGTCAGGAGGGAGTTGCGGATGTCGCTCCTGTTGTGAGGCCTTCGAAGAAGAACAACATGATGGAGAGGCACAAACCCCCAAACGTCCGGTCAGCAGACCTTGTCTCTTATCCAAAGCCATACAAGCGTCTGGTGGATCCAACGATACCTACCTGACATTCCGCAGCAACAGACTTGTGCATTCTCCCTGCCTAACCTACCCGCTACTGAAAAGAACCCACGCCCGATTGAGGGAACCATTCACAGAGGGAGCCCCAAAAATCCCAAAACCGAGAGCGAGTCACACGAATATAACCAAGCGAGACAGACTGCCCTCAAAACTCATTCTCGATTCTCCGCTCACCTCTCCTCAAACAGCCCCAGCACATCGTCCAGCTCCGTCCGTACGTCAAAGAGCAGCGAGTCGATCTCCATCCTGCCCGCCTCGATCTTGGACAGGTCCAAAAAGTCGTTGACGAGCGAACAGAGCGCGTTCCCGCTCGCGCGCGCCGTCTTGACGTAGTCCAGCTGCTGCGCGTCCAGCTCCGTGCCTAGCAGCAAGTTCGTCATGCCTGCACCAAAGGTGACGTCACAAAATTTTGAAAGGATGAGGATGCCATCTGACGGATCTGGGGCAATGCTTTCGTGACGTCGCAAGCTGAACTGGTCAGCTGCTGCGCGACCACCCCTGGCCCAGCAGCAACTTCGTCACGCCTACACCAAAGGTGACGTTATGGGTGGGCTCACACAGCATGCCCCGAACTCACAATCCTCCAACCTGGGACGATCATGTGAGTGTAAATTTTGGGGGGTTTGAGGAGCATAAGACGACTCCATAAGCCCGAGCAGAGCTGAAAACTCCGCTCCAAAGCTAGCCTCAATTTCAATCTTCAAACATTTGCTTACAAAGCTCCCAGAGCCCAGATCCGTTGGCAGATAGATAGCTCATGAATCCTTTCTTTCAACTGAGGGAAAGGGCGAGGTTGATGCCAAACGGCGAAGCAACTCACCAATCATTCCGTTCATGGGCGTGCGAAGCTCGTGCGACATGTTCTGCAGGAAGTAGGTCTTGGCCACGTCAGCAGCCTCTGCGGCCGCCTTGGCTTGGCCCATCTCTCCGTTCAGACGCTCCATCCGGTGCAGGTTCTTTTCGGCCTCCTCCGCTCTCTGCATCAGCAGACACGTGGCACCACGTGAATCGCCTGCCTTGGTAGAGGAAGAGTTCGATATTCCGAGCACAATTTCTTCTGCTGCTAAAAGAGGCACTGCCGTCTAGGAAAGGCCATGCATAGGTGAAAATTTCCGCCAAAGCTAACGTTTGCTGGCAAGCGTGGACATGTACGTCCTCAATGACTCGCTTGCATGAGAACAATAACTCTTCTCAGCCCTCAGCCCAAAAGGGATCGAGATTTTCATTTTGAGGCAGCATGTGCTATACGCAGCTCGGGGCTTTGCCGTCGTTTGACAAGCCTGATACTCGTCTGAAAGGTGCGTGCAATTCAAACCACTGAAAATCTTTCCAGCCCGGCACCCAAACACTGGGCAGTTGCTCAGTGTTAGAAAACGTAAACGATTTGAAACTCCAGAAAGCCTGAGAACATTTCAGCCTGAAACCTCACCTTAACTGTGAGCAAAAGAATAAACCCGGCGAGGAAACCGAGAACCACCACCAGCGCTGACCAGCCCAAGGGGTGCAGAACCAGGTCCCGGTTGCTGATGCCCCGGTTGCACCGCACCTCGTAACTGCACCGCGCAAGCAGCGAATTGGTCAAATGAAACGTACTGGAAACGGTAATGCAGGCGATCACAAGGCCCCGAGCGCGTCTGGTTGGTCGCCCCGACCTTGACCACGTGGGCACTTTCGCGGCGACTACGATGCTGGCTTTGCGGGTCAGCAGACGCCGAGAAGCCACAAGGAAGTAACGCTCCTCACGTCGCTCCGCCCTAAATTTTGGTGGATCGTGGAAGCGATCACAAATGACCCCTGCTGTTATACTTCGAGAGGTGCAACTCGCGACAAAAATGCCCGAAGTGACATGATCGAGTAATAGTAGCCCATCTTCCCAACAAGACTCGAACTGCCCCTAAAAGCAGAGTCTGTGCGAAGTAGCAAGGCCCCGGAAACGTACACACTCAATCAAAACCGACGTAGATTCCAGGAACCTTAAGACTTCCTTTAAACGAAGGGCCTTTGCCACTTACTCCCGGACCCCCGCAGAAAATGCTTCGGTGTGCTCAAAGTGCAAGTGGTTTGCGTCGCCAAAGAGGAGGCCGTCGTTGAAGCCGGTGCCGTACTGCGGCGACACGTCGTAGATCCAGATCCTGCAAGCAAGTGGCGCAGATCAGCTTGCTTCGAATCCGTCAGCACTTATCTCCGGAAGTGCGCTCGTTTTCTGAGACTAAGGATTTTAAGGTCTAAGGGGGTTAGGGGTTTCAGCGTTGTGCCGAATACCAAGTACCAGGAGCTTCGTCTCCAAGAAAGATCCGTAGAAGCGCAATCGTGCAGGTTGCCGACGGTGGGCAACTCTAGCAGCAGGTCAGACAACGCTGACCTTCCCGACCGACCTTCCTGACTATTTGGTTCCAGCTTCTGACCCTACATAACCCGAGTATGTGCACGGACTTCGTGAAAAGTGCGTAAACGAATCTGCTCTCTATCCTCTTGCCCTCCTTCCCCGTTGCTCCCTTGCTGTTCTTTCCCAACCTTTCTTCTCCACTTCTTTTCCACCCGAATCTGCCCACAAGAAGCAGCTTAGCTTCGAAACCTCCTGACAGGCGTGTGCTATACCAGTCTACTGAATACTGAGGCGTTTTACATGGAGGGTAAAGCCCCGACGGTAGGTCGAATTACCAACTTACCACGGCTTGCCTTTTACATGGTAGCGACTTACCGTGGTAAGTCGACTTTACCGACGGTAAAGTAGGGCCCGATTCAACTCATCAAAATCGATGAGGTAAACCGTGGTAAGTCGTGGTAAGTCCGAAATGAGTGCGGATTTGCCCTCAATCGGGACTTACCATCGACGTACCCTCGGACCATGTAAAAGGCCGATCGCGACGAGCCCACGATAAGTCTAGGCGGTACAAGTTTAGTCGTGACAGTGCGCGGTAAGTCAGCACTTACCGCCGGCAAACCACCTTTCATGTAAAACGCCTCACTGTTTCCATACTTCTGGTCAACCAAAGGACTATTTACAACTACAACCTATCATGTCAGACTGGACGGGTTTTGCGGCGCTCACTTGACGTTGTCCCCGTCGCCCTGACCCCTCAGCTGCTTAAGCACATCGTCCGCCAACTGATTCACCGTGAACTGCGCCCCGACCCACCCCTGGATACCCGCTCGCCGCTGCACAGTGGATTTGTACGCGGGCCTTCAACCACGTGGCAATCTGGCGCATCCCCATGCAACTGTTGGAAAGCTAAAATGGGGCAAACGGGCATTCTGGGCGACTGAAAAGGAGATACACGAGTCGGTTGGTCGCCAGCACGGTACCGATACTTGTTCCCAGTAGCCTTCCTTCGAATTCGGACTCCTTGACCTTGAGCTCGTGACAACCGGACAGCCTCACCCAGGATCTGTCATCCGACGCTGCCTGTTGGCATCTGACGACCGCTTCTCAACTCAAACAGTCACAGAAGTTTGTTCTCAAACTTTGGACACGACCGCTTCTCAACTCAAACAGTCACAGAAGTTTGTTCTCAACTTTGGACCCGGATTTGCAGATCCTCGAACGAGTACTAGTACGACCTACGGTCATGCAGCCGCAGCCAAATCTTTGACAAATTGAACGGCAAGTATGACCGCACCGCTGTACCTGATCGATAGTGGCGTTGACTGGTATGGCGAGATCGAGAAGGCCATAGTCCGGGAACATCCCAAAGAATCCAGAAAGGCCGCTCGCAAAGCGCTGCGGCTGAGTGAAGCCCACGTCCCCGCAGTCCCGAGCACTGCAAGCACAAGCCGAGCCTAGGATGAAGAGAGTCCTTTGTGAATCCTTAAAGTGTCGAAGAATGGGGATCAAAATCGACTCGACTTGAAAACAATGCGATCTAGAGTGGCGGCCGTTGTCGATGAATGACCTGCTTTCTGGACCGGGGTTGTAGGTGATGGATTCTGCATGCAAGCAAAAGTGACGGACATTCACCAACATCCACAACGGTCGATGAAGGACCGCCGTCTAAACGAGAATGATGGTTGGCTTTTGCATTCAACAGTGATCTATATCTTTGCTTGGTCAGGTAGGATGCTAACGCTTTCCATGGACACAACAACTGCTGGCATGCGCATGGAATTATACAACGCTATGCCCTCTTCGGGCTGGTCTAGTGCCAAGAAACCGGCCTTGAGTAACTTTCCACGCGCCCACCAGAATCTTTTCCACAAAGAATTGCTGTAGCTTTCGAAAGGACATGTGAGTGGAAGCAGCGGCCCGAAGGGAGAAACATACACAGCTGCAATGGGGCCGCAGAAGGACAGCGAGAGGGGGCAGGGGGCTCACTTGGCCAGGGCTATGGTTTGGCGGATGTCAGACATGGTGTCAAACCCCACAGGAACCGCCGGTCTCTCCCGCACCTGAAACAGATGGCATTCATGACGTCAGCAAGAGCAGTTGCTGACGTAGCACGGGAAGTGCCCACGTCACCCAATGCTTTTGGAGCCCCGTTGTGGGCTTGTCATCTGCTTGTGAACCGTTGAGCAGGCTCACTGAAGAGAAAATGTTTTTTCTGAGACAAAGTGATTCCAAATAAGGGTGCAACTGAACCAAGGACTCCAGCCTCTGATCTTGCTCCTAGCCCGAAGAGCACGTTCCAGGCTTCTCTTAACTTTTTAAGAGAAGCCTTTGGCTCTGGCACCATTCCTTTTGCTTTCTGAACCAGCATTATCCGCAGAATACATCTCTCCTTGAATATCCAAAAACCCTCAAACTTTGCGACTTTCCAACCAGGCCCATCAATCGCCAGCAAGCGAGACGATTATTTCGCAAAGCTTGCAACAGATTCACCGGGGGAAAATACAGCGTACTCACGTTGAAAAATTGGAGTACTGCATACTCGGCAGAGACGTTCCTCGGCTCAAGGATAACATTCCCAACTCCAGCGAGGGCACCCAATTGGGTGAAGTTGTACCCCAACTGTTGCTCCACCTATCCAGAAAACAACACGTGAGCAAGCATAAGACTCTCCCGCTTTTCACCATGAACAAAGATTCTAAATCCCCCTCATTCTCAGTGACAGAAAATGATGGGGAAAAACGGTTTCGACGTTCCGAAGATTTATTCAACGCTCAAATTTTCTGACCTGGATGGATCTCAAGATGGCTCGGAACAACATCTTGATTGTGTTATGACGTCCTATCAATCTCACTTCCGCTTCTTAAATTTTCTAGGTGAAAAAGAGGCCAAATTCAAGCCGTGCCCACATTACATTAACATTGTGAACTTTATTCTGAGGACCCGTTTGCTGCCGACATTGCCCCTTCCCAGGGCATGCTGGTTTCACAGTCACCATAACCTGGGTTCCTAACCCTGGATTAGAAAGCAGAGAAGCACCGGACATGTCTTGCAGAGGTACACCTAGCAAGGTCTGTCACAGCAACCCAACCTCAGCCCCGATGCAATTTACATGTAACCAGGCTTCAAGCTTGCTAACCCACCAATGGGTTAATCTCTAACGTCTAACACGATTCTGGCAGCCGGTTTGTGCCATGCTCAATGGTGTAAAAACCTTCTTGTGTGCAGTTGGGCTAGTTGTGGTCTAGAGACAAACACCTTAGCCCATCGCCTGTTGTACTTGCGTTTCGGGTCCATGGCTTGACCGCTAAGCCCTTGAGGAAGACGCATGTACATGTATGTGCCTATGTTCCCACCATTATGTAAGAGCAATCTGACTGGGGACTAAACCTGCCAACGGAACCCCGACAAAATTTCCTAGCAAAGGTCCCAAAACCTGACGACTGCAACGAGCCCCTGCAACAAAATCCTAAGATTACCATGCGCCCAAACGGCGTGAATTGGCATCCGGCCTCTAAGAGCCCCTCACCTCGCTGCGCTGCGCCCCCGGCACATACTTCAGGTAGATAATCGCCTTGACCACCGTGCGCTGGAACGCGGTCGCAACCGCAAAGTTGGTGTAGCTCGTGAGGTTGACAGTGCCCGGAGACGCCCAGATGAACCCGATGAAGATGCGCGCCGCGTCCACTTGCTGATACAGCGACGTCTGCAAACCGAAGATGCCCTTCGGATAAAGATAAAAGAAATGCAGAGACACTGACTTCCTAGGGCGACATTGTGGATTGCCAGACTAACTGCTCCCATCCTGTGGTGGTTATGGGGTTGTTATCTGCAATTCTTAACTGCTTCGCCTAAAATCAAAGAGAGAGCAGGCGCGGCCATGAGAGTGGCACATTGACTGCAGCTGGAAAAGGAGCCCCAGATCCTTCTGGTCGCAAGTGAACCTGTATGGATCCTGGGTCAACGATAAGGCCGCTGACAAGGGCGGCGCCGGTCAAAGTGCAACACGCTTTCTGTCTGAATCCATCATAATGCTAACAAGTGAGGATGAGCATGTAAACTGAACACGTACAAAGCAGTGAACGAGCTGCATACAAAGGAGACACTTGGAGGTTGACTTCAAGAAGAAAATGAAGAAAACGTGACGGATGACCAATTGCATCTATCATGCTCTTGCCATCAGGCGGCGGATTAGGGTTTTGTTTTGATGGCCGCAACCACTTTTCTATTTGTCCTTACCTCAAAGTGTGTGGCTATGTCCTTGCAGGTCCGCTTCAGTACACTGTAGCTGTTGTGCTTGTCCATCTCAAAGACCTGCGTCGCGTCAGCCCAGCAGTAGTTCAATTTCTCTGGGCTTGACTTGCCCACATTGACATACGGCAAAGAAACCCTCCCCGTTGGGCTGATACGACGAAGTTGTTCAACAGCGGAGGCATTAGCATAATCTGCCCCCTTTGGATCAGAACAAAACAACAGCCTAACCCAGGGACAACGCAAACACGCAGTCTCACAATGGGACATAACCGCTATCGCCGCAGTATGCAATCGCCGCAAAATGCTGTTGCCCAAAGCGAGGTCCAACAGTTGAACCTCAACATTCACGACTTTCACTTTGGACAACTTTGGACAAAATTGGGAGGAATAACTTTTCTGATAAGCTGGCCCCCTTACCAGGACAAAAGTGACTGCCGCCCCCGCGAGCGCTACCGCGCACCACAAGTACATGAGATAGCGCAGGTACAGCTGGCGGTGATACCGCCGGCACAGCCGCTGCCAAAGGGATCCCTCCATTGTGGGGGCAGGTTCGCTGGTGGAATGAAAACAACATATGTTTTGCAATGAGCCATGAGGGGGTTTCTATGGGAGCCTGGGAGTGTGCTCAGATTGCAAGCCCGGGGGAGGACAAGTGAAAAGTAGAGAGGAAATAGAAATTGGCTATGGGCAAAGTGAGTTTGGTGCCTGTACAAGTTCGGGCTTTGGTTCCAGCGGTCGGTTGCAAGAGGCCTCGCAATCATGCTGACGTCACTAGGGCGGTCCTACCAGTCTTTGGTGCGACAACTTGAAGAGATTCTTGAAGAGGTGCTTTGTTGACCTATATGCTAGCGTCATCAGACTGTCCGCGTCAGGAGTTCCACGTATGTTGATAGCATCTCTAGAAGATTGTGAAGCGTGCCTGCCGAAAGTCAGATGGTGGCAAGAGCTAAGCATGATTGTTCTGATTCGTCTAGTTGTTCATGCTACTGGCCTATCAGAAGGGCTGCCAAAAACCTTGAGCTGCTTCAAGCAGCCCACAAGCACATATGCAGAGCTCTTTTCTGTCACAGTCATGGGGAGAGAAGTTTGGCCCACCCGACACTTTTCTTGCCCATAGAAAACAGAAGCTGCCCAGTGGCTTATCACAAACCCATCTGCAGCGTTTTCACATTCTAAAAGCACCCTGATTGGACCTTGTCAGAGACAATCGTCCAAGAAGAAGGTCCAACCTAGAGTCATGACCATACCTCCGACCTTCGTCTGACCCTGACCGCCTGGCCACAGGTTGACCAGCAGAACTCGCAACCATTTTGGAAGCCCCCGCTAAACTCTACTCCAAGGAGTCCCTAGGTTCGCTTGGATCCATCTTTCCACATTCGCGAGCTCTCGTGAAAGCACCAGAGGCCGTCAATGCTTCCGCAATGCTCACGAGCCCCGCAAACATACACACAACCACCTATCTACTTTCCACACGGATTGGAATTAGTTCTGCACACGGAAGGCCATCAAGAGCACTTTTCTTACCACAAAAGAAGGCGCCAAACTTGGTACCTACCCAAAGAAGACATGCTCTGGAAGCTAGAACCACTGTGGCTGTGAAGCGTCGCGGTGAGATTCTCTTATGTAGAGACTGCCAACCTCCAATCTGTGCCTGAGGCTGTGGTTGCGAACGACTTGCAACGACCAGGCTGGTGGCGCGGCGATGGGGGCGCCAAACGGTTTGCAAACCGGTCCGATGAAGATTTTGGGTTCGTGGCTTTGCAAGGGCCAAGTGGAACCAACCGGTAGGGAAGGGGCGCAGTTACTTCCCGGCGTGTTTGTTTGTGTTCTCAAGCTGCCACGAAGTTGACGCCAAAGTACCACGTGGGCTTTCCTTCAGCACCATATCGTAACGGTCCCGCTTCGCGAGTGCGTCATAAGGCGGTTGCCAAATTTGTAGGCACATCAAGTATTGGTTAGGTATGTGCTATATATGACCTTGGTTTTGGGTTGCCAGGTCTCAAGTTACGTTCTCCCGAGCCCAACTTTTTGTGAAGTGTCATATACGGTATGTAATTGGTCCGAAACGCTTAGAACTGATATACCTAGCAGCTACAGTGTCGAGCTGCGAGCAGCTAGCGGCCAGCTCCTCCTATTGCAGTGTGCACAAATGCTCGGGGCAGCTGACCGTATGTGATTATACCGTATGTCTGAAGTTGGGGTATTCCGATCTCTCGCCATATGGCTTCTCGGTTAACCATGTTTTGGCAAGCATTAACTGACATGCATGAGACACGTGAGGGCTTGAGCGTCATGAATCATGATCATCATCCGCAATGATTGCTTTTAAGCGAACACCGCGCCGCGCGGGGCCCCCGGGCGGGCACTTTCAATCAAAGTTCATACTACAGCTAGGTCCTACTACTGCAAACGGACGTTGGCTTTACCGACCCATTTATACCGGGCTCGTGTGTGTGTGTGCGTTGGAGATCGAAAGATCAGCTGCAGTAGTGAATTAGGACGGGATACTCTCTGTCTGAGTATTAGTTCAAGGCCTTTTCTGCACTCCTAGACAGTAGCTTTGACGACGACTTGCGATTCTGCTTTTATCATACTTCTGCAGCAACACCTAAGATTACATCGAGTACAAGTTATATTCGATCAATGCATGGTTGATTACGCAATATATAGAAATGTCAAAAGTCCCGGAAAACGGCTAAACGTTGACTCTAGAGAGTCCCAGATATATACTAGGTCTGTCTCAGCATCTCGAATTCGGATACGGAAGACACGTGCAGCTGCAAAGTTGGCAAAAGAATCGTGGTCCTCTTGAACGTCAAGAATTTGGGTACAATTCGAGTGCAGCTTTGGGTCTGTTGAGTCACGTTCTATTATTGCAGGTTGGGATAATCCAACGACGTTGAGGAATCCAAGATTGTTTCAGAGCGCCCAACATCGTCTCAAGAGTTGAGATTGCCACATTGACCAGTTTTGACGTTCTACAAGTTTATCCAATGTTGTGCAGCCTTTTTGATCAAGCTGCATGGAGTAGCCCCGTACTGCTTACATATCTAATGTGAAGTATTACTTTACGGTTGCACGAAGTCATTTCGCGGCCTTGTAATTGAGGGCAGTGACTAGAAGTGCACCTCAGTTATACCCGTGACGGGGTTGATTAGCTAGCTGCCTTGAGGTTGAGCTGCTTTGTTGCGTTTGATTGCGCATTTACTACCAGGAAACATAGTTGCTGCATCCATAGATCATAAGTTTACTGCCCGTTAGTTGACTTCAAGCACATGAGCTTTTCAGGCGTCAAATCTACTGCCTTCGTTCTGAATGGAAGTACTGATGAATGGACGGATGCTCCTGCCAGTATTATTGGTCGGCGTTTTGGCAGGTACTCAATTTGAGGCACAGCCAAAATGCGACTGAAGCCCTAGTGTTGTTTCCAATAGCACTATCCGGGTGACTGACGTACACTGATACTGACAACCACTGTATCAATGCCAACCTCAAAATGCAAGGACGAAGCACGGCCGCTTGACCCAGTACATATAGATGTCACGCACGCAAAGATAGGATCCAACATGCCGTTGACACACCACACTTGCAAGAAGTGTGACGACTTGTGTCACCCATTTTTAGGGTTCACCAGCTCCCGATTGACAATAAGGTACTCAAGACGACTGCCTGGCCCGGACGATCTCTCTTCTCCTGCATTTGTCCATAAAATAGACCTCCTGACTGGCGACGTAGACAGACTCAAAGGGTTGTCAGAGCACAAGGTCTGACTGATCGCCCATTTTAAGATCGCGTATCCCTCGTTTTGCAAGTGAGCCGTCGATCGATCTTGATCTCATCATTTGCAACTCGTTGAAGAGAAGGGTCGACTGGTTTTACTTGTGGACGTACTATTTCGGAGACCATATCCTGGCGATTGGTTCTACAAAACTCTGATCACTTCTTGCGCACTGTGCGGCTCGTGGTCGGCACCATTGAATCGCATGCGGGGTTCCATATCTGATTGCAACGCCTTGACGTTCTGACGAACTTTCAACGCCTCAGGAAGTCGCTCTCTCTCTCATCCACGTCGGTGCAGTTACATATTGGTCCGTTCGCTCAATCTACTGGTTACTCAAGTGGCACAGCTCGACTGTTCTCCGACAGAACAATTTTCTCATCCCAATACTGACAGCTTTATGATCTGGGCTGCATGCTATTTCCAGTAGTCGCGCGACCTCGTTCCAAAGAGACACGGGAAAGTCGCTGGTTCCAAGGAAAAGCGAACGTGGCGCATTGTTTTTGGTTGGCCGGTCAACGCACAAGCAACCTCGGACATAAGATCTGCCGCCCGTTCCGGGCGGCGGCTGACGTCAATCCTGACGTCACTGCATCGTCAGCTGGCACTCCCGGCACTGCGCCGCCCAAAAGCCGGCCCAGTCCGCCTCGTCGGCGGCCAGCGCGTCCCGCCGCTGTGAGTAGTGCGCGAGCGCGCGCGCGAGGTAGGAGGCGTACTTCTCGAGCGCACGGTCGCGCGCGCCCACGATGGCGTGGTGGAACGGCGTGTCGAGGCCCTCCACGGGGCGGGAGAGAGCGTCTGTGAAGGGCGGAGGAAAGGTATGTGTCAATGGAACAGCAGGACGAGGGACTGGGCGGGATTGTCACAACAGGGACAAAAGAGATGTATTTGGTGTTGTTGACCGTCGAAGTTCGATCTGCTTGCCGCGTGGGTCGCCAGAAATTCAACTGAAACGTTGATAGTTCAAGCGGCTGGACATGCCCCGAATCGCGGTTCGACTACGAGGAGTTGTTTGGGCACAGGTTTATCAAGATCACGTTTCTCTCCTGTCTAGGCAATTCACTACTCTAAAGGAATTACACGGTTGTCTGAAAGACAGCCTGATTCACAGTTGTACCCTCCTCGAAGAACTGCCAGTCAATGAAAGGAGCCACAACAATCTCTTTCATCTCTTCCCTTTTAAGGTATCAGCTGTTTGGTGTGTACTCTCACCTCCGCCCTCCGTGGGATCCGGCGTTCCGCTGCTATTCTTCCTTCCGGCCACCACCTTGCTTCCGCTGACATCAGCGGCGCCCTTCGCTGGCGGCTTCCCACCCTTCCCAGCGGGCCCTTTCTCCTTTTGCGCCGCCGCTTTTTCCACCGGCTTCTTGGCCTCATCTCCAGACGGTTCCGCTGCAACTTTCTCTTCCGCTCCGGTTCCGTTCGCTTCTTTCCAACCTAGTTGCTTCAGGTCTAAAGCGTCCGTTTGGACGCCCGGCCATGTGCGCTTGTTGTACGGACGTACGGAGGGCTCGGCTGAAGGAACGGGGGTCGGTGACGTTGCAGCGGGGTTCTGAGCCACGTGGCGCTGCTCGCGCAGGAGCTGCTTGAGGCTCTTCCGTTGCATCGACATGATCTCGTCGCCGTCTGAAGAAGCAAAGGGGAAAGAAACTCTCAAGAGACCGCCTCTAAGCGATACCCCATGAGATTGCTACATCAGATCAGTAGCTTCGTATAGCGAAAACGTACTTCTGCCACTGGCTACCCTTTCCTTACGGATGTCAATCTTTAACTCACTTTCGTTGAAGAAGTCTGGATCAGTGCGAAACAAAGAGGCCTGAGAGACGAATTTCAAGAAGGGGAAAAACACACAAGATGGATTTGATCCTATCGCCCTCTTGCTTTCCTGTTCCCTTCCGATGGCTTCGTTCTCCCCGAGAAGTCCGGGCTCAGCCCAACGGCTTTGAAGGCAGCACCGAAACTTAGAGCGGACCCAACTGCTGGCTACGCATGTCTACATCGTGCCCAACGAATACTTTCAGCGCCCTCGTTTACGACAACCGATCAATTCTGCGGATCGGAAGAATTGCTCATTCCTACCTGCACGCGCAGTTGGTGCATTTTACTCACCCGATTTGGGCGGTTCCAGGTCCTCCGGCAGGACCAGCCCGTCATATAATGCGAGCAGGACGTCCGTACACCGCGTTAGTCGCGTCCGGAAAGCGCGGCTGTCCGCATCGAGCACGGCAGCGGCCGCGCCTGACCCGTCCCCAATGGCGGCGAGCGCGCTCTCAGCGCGCGCTTTTTCCTGCGGTTTCCAGTGGGGCCGTATAAGCTCAGTTGCTTTGCACGTAATTATCATCTAGATCCCATTGTTGCAAGCGGAGTGAAGTCGGACATTAAGTTCCCTGCGATATTTCTTCGAAACAAGGCACCAGCACCGGAGGCTTTAACTGAAGTTGGCCCTTCGGTGAATTTACAACGTTGGAAGCCGAAACTCTATCACCGACAAGGGAGTTAAATTGTGTGGCCAATCAAATCCCAGAGATTTTAAAAATGCTCAATCCAAAATTGGTCCGTTACTGATCCTCTCGGATCACCTTTTCTTTCAGCTCGCTGAAGGCGGCCGCCATGGCCGGCCGCGCGGCGCCGGGCCGCAGCGCGAACTTGTGCGCCGCGCGCTGGGCCGCCAGCTCCCCGAGCCGCGCCGTGAATGCGCGGTCCGCGCGCGCATGCGCGTCGCCGGAGATGGCGACCTCCGTCGCATGAAGGTCGTCGAAGACGGCGGCCGGAAGCTGGGCGAGGAGGCCCGTCAGAGTGATGACCTGCGGCGAGGGTTTAAGGGGTTTGAGGGTTTGAAAAATTGAGGGTTTGAAGCTTCGACGGTATGAGGGTTTGAGGTTTCTGAAAATTCCGACTTTTTGGGCTTTCAGCATCGAGTCTGGGCCTTTGTGCAGGAGAAGACCAGGCGGAAAGGGGAGCAAGAGTCTCCAGACGGTTGTGGACCGAAGGACTCTGAGCGGCTGTTGAAGGCTTGACCCAATCATTGATGACGCAGGTATCGACGGCAAATTGCTGTGCCACCCGCAGAGACGCACGCTGTCGATCTCATTGAGCATCTGGATGCTCGACACGTGTCAAATTGGCGATGGCTGCGCTCATCTCCTGCCAACGGACAGCCTGTACCACCAAGGCCAACCTAAATTGTCTGTTGTCCTCAACGTTTCTCAACACAAATGTCTTTTTATTGTTCCTCTTCTCTCAACCAAGCCTGGAGTCAAAACCGGCAGTACCTTTTGAATCGGTCGTCCTCTATATCTCTTCAGGCGCTCGTAAATGAGAATTTCGAAAGCTTTCTTCTCTCACCTGCGCGCGCAGCCGCGTCACCGCCGCCCCCCGGTGCTCCTCCCCCTCCCACTCAATCTGCGCGAGCGTGCGCTCGTGCAACTCGGCCATCGCGTACGCGTCCTCCAGAATGCGCGCGCCGCGCGTTGGCTCGCGGCCGCTCTCCTCCAGCTTCGCGTAATACTCCCTACACGCCTCGCCCACTTTGGTGCGGCAATCGCTCAGCAGTTTCTTCACCTGGCCCGTCAACGTGCTGGTGTCAATCTCCTCAGCCTCTGCCGCCTCTCTTTCCGTCGACACACGCTTCTTAGCGCCGGCCGGCGTCGTCTTTCCGCCACTTTTTGTGGCCCCTTTTTTGGCCGGCTCAGGCGACGCTTTGCCTGGGCCCTTGCCGTCGCCGGTCGCCTTGCTTTTGGGGGGGTCCGGTTGGCCGCTTGCCAGGCCCCCCTGTTGCGAGCTACCGGGGCGGTCGTCAAGCCCCAGCGAAACTTGCGCCCCAGGCACGTCGCTCTTCAAACAATTCAGGAATCGGGCTCTAGGCACCATCAGGTTTCTCACTCTGTCTAGTTCCGCAATAGCTTTGACTGACAGTTCCGGCAACTTTCTGACTACAGGAACCCCTTCCGCGCCGCTTGTCGAAGCCTCATCTTCTGGGGCGGCGGCGGCACGCGCGCCAGCGGCCGCAGGGTTCGGGGTTTGGGGGCCGCGCGACGACAGGAGAGTGGAAAGCGCCGCGAGCGCGTCTTGGATCTGCTGCGCGGCCACGGTGCTGCTTTCGAGGATTTCAACGAACTTAGATTTGGTGGAGGCGAAGGCGGCTTCCGCGTGCTCGAGAAATGCGAGGTCTTCCTTGTGGGGTGCCACCTGAAAGGGATTGGTATGATGACATTGACATTGAAGACCTTTTTGCAAACCTGAGAGTATCATCGGATAAGCGGACCAACCAGAGGGGTCGTTCTCATGTGAGCACCTTTCTTAGACTCTGCTTGCTGTCAACTCCGTGTGTTCGCATCTATGGACAAGAAGCCCCAGCATCGACTATGTTCTGATTGAATGCAGGACTTTCCACTCCCCAAACCGCACGAAGGCACACACTCAGTGCGAAGGGTTTCTGACAATCCACACTAATCTTTTTTTTGATCGCGGATAGTCATTGACTGTACAGTTGTTTCGATACTTGGATGACTTCTGACGCGCTTACCATTTCCTTGAAGGAATCGTGAGCATCCGCCAGGTCTTGCTCCCCCTTTTTCCGCGCTTCCGCCACTCTGTCAAAGTTCCGCCCTTCCGTTTCGTCAGCGGAAGCGTCAGCCGCCGCGAGCTGGCGCGCGCACTCCGCGATAGCCTCCGGAAGCCACGTGCCCCCCTCGGCAATTGGTTTGAAGGTTTCCGAAGCGAACTGCTGATTCAGCTCCTTCAGTTCCTGAGGCAGTTGAAAGTAAAAACTCGTAAGGAAAAGGCACTGACCGTTATCGCGGATCTTCAGCCTGGGTAGAGCGAGCCTGAGTTGCTAATCAAGCCGGATCCGTGCGACGCGTCCCTTTTCAAGACCAAGAATCCACTCATAATATCGGGTTTTCTTTGGATGTAAGTCGCCCTCTACTTCTTATACTACCAAAAGTGCCAAACAAGCCTGCTGCAGTCTTCGAGGTCTGCTGTGCAAGTACGGAAAGCATCTTCGGATCAACGCCAGCATCCCAGCAGAGTGAATTCCCTTTGTCTCTCTTTATTCTGAGTGACCACACAGGCAGCGTAATACCCGGTGTCAGCACCATAAGTGTTGACGCGCGCGCACCTCGCAGCTGCTCCGAGCCGCTGACTCGAGATCTTCGACCGTCCGGTCAATCACGCCGTGGACCACCCTCCGGACATGCTCCGCTTCCCGGATCTTAACCTGGAAAACGGAAGCGGAACGCCTTGATCATGACATTGGCGCTTTGACTAACTAAAGCACCTTTAAGAGATTTATTTCTTTCACAAGACTTGTGAGCGCAATCGGGCCGCCTACTAGTCTAGAGGGTGGCTTGTGATGGAAAGCCCAACTGACTCGCGGAGAATTGAAACCAGCCAGTCCGGGTAACAGGTCTCCGACATCCCTAGGGTTCAACCTGCCCAAAGATAGGGCCTTCTTCGTGACCAATTCTCCTCAAATCTGAATGCTTCTTATTACATTCATCCACCTCCTCAACATCACAACGACTTATAAGCATCCAAAACTTCTGAGAACAGTCCCGCCATGAACGCTTTCCAGGTCCCCCGACCACGGCCAATGCAGGCTCCTCCAGCAACGATTCATCGTAACTCGCTTGCTCCCCGGTCGCTCTACGTCCCCAAACCGACCACTGGTCAACCACACGCAATCGCTCACCTGCACGCCCGGTAGGTTGGTTAAGTCCTCCAGCGACTCCTCCAGCTCCCCCAGCTTTTCCGTCGCGGCCGCCATCTTCTTCGCGGCCGCGTCGAGCCGCGCGTCGAACGCGGCCTGGTCGTCCGCCGCCAGCTGCGCGGCCGCGCGCAGGTGCCGCATGAACGCCTGCCGCTGCTTCTGGAGTTCCGCTGACCTGCGGGTGGAACCGTGGGCAGGCGGAATCAGTGGTTTCGACTTTATGTCGCTTCTATTTCCTGATGAATCCGCAAAACGCGAGACAATGAATCCGGGGTCGGCAAGATACTTCGCCCCTGGAGAACCAAGATGTGAGGGTTGCATGTGAGCGGCACCAAACGGGGATGCGGAAAAGGACAAAGCATAGTTAAGATACTAAACGATCTTTACAACGATCATGCGACGGATCTTTAGCAGGTCTATGAACTTTCAAATCTTGGATTGTATAGCTTCGATCAATACAGAAACTACTCGACCGCAAAGGTTGAAGCCTTTTGGGAACCTCTGGCAATATCCCCGTTCCCGGTACCATACAAGCAGAGACTTCAACTTCGTCCACTCATCGAACTATTTATTGATTCCCCACCCACCATTTGCTCCGAAGGTCCTCTTCCACCGGGCCCGCCCGCGGCCGGTGCTTCCTCAACCGGGCATCCAGCTCAGTCGTCAGCTGCTCCGACTGCGCCTTGTGGAACGCGGCCGCCTCGGTGGTTATTGCGGCCTCCGACTGCGCCATCTCAGCGAGCAGGGCCGCTTGGAGTTCCGCCAGGATTCCGGTCAGGAACTCTGGGGAAACGGAAGTTGGCGTTTTCTTGCTGTTCTTTGTTGACTCCAGAAGTGGGAAGCAGAAGGAGAGAAAGACCGCAGGATACACAAGACTGGCTGCGAGGGCAGAGGCGGAAAAGCATGGAGGAACCATGGATTGAAAGATGTGCCAAAAGAAAGATCTGAATGGCCAGGAGAACTTGTGAACAGGGCCAGATTTGGGAACCGAAACCTGCAATACGGCGGTGTCTCTGGAGGTAGGCAAACCAGCAATTGTTTTCAGCCTCCAATGACAAGCGACAGAAACTGTTCTGGACAGCCGACGGGTAAATATGAACGGCCATCCTCTACCAGCCACGCAAGCTCTTCTGCTCAAGTTTCAGGATTCTTGAGCCCCCCTATTCGCGGGAGCTTTGCACGCTGACAGAACGAATGGAGGGAGAACGCGGACTCTCGACCGGTCACTTTCGATGACCCCCCTCAGTTAGAACCCTCCAGATCAACGGTCCGGATAGGTCTCTCCGGCAGGGTTAGCCGTCGGTTTCGGGCTCGCGAGGGTTGCCCGGAGGTCCGCGTTCTCCCTGCATCCGTTCTGACAGACTGCGAAAAGCCCTGTCCTGATACCTCGATCTTGGCCGTACGTCAGCACACACCGATCAGCCTCACCTCGCGACAGCAGGAGCGTGATCAAGAAGGGCTTCCCGTCAACGCCCACTGGACACGTGTCTTCGACCGGTTCAGGTTTACTTTTCTCCGAAGTTGGGTCCCCGGTTGGTACCGGGGTAGTTGCAACGGGCGGGCTTGCTACTACCGCAGGGGCGGCGACTGGTGCCGGAGTAACTTTACCACCCGGCTTTTCCGCTTTCGCCTTCGCGCCATCGGCGCCTTTCTTGGCGGCTTCCTTCTTCGAAGCCACGCGTTTCAGTTGGTCTTCCTCCTTCTTTTCCGGCGCGACTACGCTGCTCTCTCTCGCTTCCATCTGAACTGCACCGCCTTCGCCTGGCGGTGCCTCTTTGCTTGGCTCGCTGCTATTTTGGGACTTTTCCCCGTTGACAAAAAGCGTCTCATACAGAGCCGCGGCCGCGGCCGCGGCCGCGTGCTCGCCGCCTTGGCTATCGATCACTATGCCCGCCGACTTGTCCGCTAGAATCTCTAGACTTCCCGCTCTCTCAGATTCACTCTGCGTGACCCCTAGAAGTCGCTCAAATGCAATTCGATGCGCAGTGGACGCACTTTTCATGGCGTCCGGATACGCCTCCACGTCACGCATGGTTTCCGCGTGAAAAACCCTGTACCCTTCCTCGATGCGCGCGAGCGCCTCCAGCGCGGCCGCGACCTTCGCGTCCAAATCAGCTTCGTCAGCGCCCTCCCCTATGCGCGCGCAGCAGAGCGCGAAAACGTCTTCCCGCGCGCTGTTCGCGTCGTCGAAGGCGGCGCGGCCGCGCGAGACGGTGTCGCGGATGCCAGACTGCAGAAATAGTTTTCCAGCAATTTCATGCGTTGAAAAATGGTGGAAAATACTTCCGTCAAGGTCTGAATCAAAGTGAGGCCGCCACTCATGGCCACAGCTAGCGGAAACTAGACCGAGTCACTCCTTTTACAAAGAAGTAAGGGGAAAACATGTTGAACTATCTCGAATGTATCGAGGTTTGTTTCGACCAAAAGATCGGAGCAGTCCCTACCTGAAGATTCTCGACGCGTGCTTTGTGCTCGTCGAACTGAGCGGCGACTCGCGTGAAGTAACCGGTCAGGACCTTCACAGAGTCGGATCTCGTCGTTGCCTGTAAAGCAGATGACGGATCGCATCAGAAAGACCGATATTGAAGGACCGTTCCTTTTTCTGATTTCGGCGTCTACATGGGCGTACCGTTCGTGCTGTAACATTGACATCGATATGAGAAAGTAACAGCTGGACTCCGGGACAGAGGCATTCCCGCGTTTTTGAGATTTTGAAGCTCGGGATCCCTTGACAGGCAATCCATCTCTGAAAAACAGTCCCCAAAATTTCTGCAAGAATGCAAGTGAACCTCGTTTGTTTCTGTACAGAGGTTCCGCTCCCTTCCCCGTTCGATCCTGCTTACGATTCTTCCATGCTTCCCCTTCTGACCGGAGAAACTTGGCCTCTGAGTACGTTGGATCAGCAATCCTTTTGGCCGACACGTGGTAGCCTCACTTGAGTCTTCAGAAACGCGGCGACGCCCCGCAGGAGGACCCCCGCGGCTTGTCGCCGCTGCTCGAGGAGCGGCTTCGCTTCGCGCTCCAGCTGCTCCACCGCGGCCGCCTCCGGCATTGCCTCGTACTCTTTTACGTCCCGCACTAGTTGCTCGTACGCTCCGTCCGCTCGCTTCTCGAGCTCCTCTTCCTGAAAATGGTCACCGGAACGGATTGAAGTGTATGGTTCTACTGACAGCCGTTACGGCAGACGAAGATTGGGCTCAAAGTGAACTGCTATTCTTGCCGAGTGACATTTAGCAAGCGGATCCAATCTTCAGGCGCGGCCAATTCGCTGCCGAGACAAGATGGAGAGGTCAGTTCATATACTCTCACTCAGAACGGACCGGGACTTACTGTCAGAACCAAAGCTGCAAGGAACTTGAATTGCTATGTCCGGAGTCCGCACTTTTGAACGGACAGATAGATGAGATGCTTTGCTGCCAGATTCCAGTCATTCAAGGAGTATGCCATCCCATATTCTCCAGTAACCAAAGATTGTTTGGTAGAGCACGCGAGTCTCAAAGTACGAAGTATGAATCCCAACTTTGTATATTGTATCATCGCCCCAAATTAGTTGGTCGCAACAAGCGACTAGCTTCAGCCGAGATGGCCTCTCACCACTCTCCGCAGCTTCTCCTGGTGGAAGTCGATGTTGGCCTGCCAGCTGTCCAGCGACGCGAGCACGCGCTTCTGCCACGTGTCAACACCAGGCACCCCAAAAGCCGCTGGCGGCAGCACCGTCCGCAGGGAGCCAATGAGTGTCTGCAAATTTGACACGTGTTCTTCCTGCGCGGAGAAAATGTGAATCAGTCAAAAATTCAACAAGGCTTGGAGAACAGACCTAAGGTATAGAATCGTCGAGAATGGTTGTCGTACGATGCTTTAGAGTCAGATTAGCTGACTTTGGTTAAGCACGAGATCGATCTAGAAGCAGAAAATTTAATCTTCTTGGAGATTGAGAGTTAGACGAAAAAGAATAGTCAGGCCCCCGCTAAGACTCTAGTCCCCCACCTCTTCCTTCTTCACCGCTCCAAGCTCCGCGTTCCGCTCGGGGGATTCCGCGAACTCCGCGCTCGCCATGCGCGCGCAGAACGCATCGAGCGTGTGCCGCATGCGCAGGAGGCGCCACCGCTCCAGGTCCGCCTCCCAGCCGTCGCGCCACGTGGCCTGCTGTGCGACCTCGCGCGTTTTCAGCCGCGCGAGGAGGTCCGCGTGCGCCTGCCGGTTCGTGAGTACCGTCTGGTTCAGAGCCAGGGACTCCTCTTCAACCAGGCGCTCGATCTGGGAGCGAGGAAAGAGAGACCGGGGATGAGAGGGTTCCGAGGAAAAAGAGACGGGGATGAGAAGGTTTTCAAGGGAAGAGGGACAGGGAGGAGGGGATTTGAGAGGAAGAAGGACCGGAGATGAGAGGGTTTGAAGGAACCAGAGACCGGGCTAGAAGGTCTCAAGGAAAGAGTGTCCGGAAATGAGACAAAATCGGGACGAATGTATATAACTTTGAGATTCCGTAATCCGGATAAGGTAGCGGCTCGAGGAGAGACATGTCTGCCCAGCCACGGAACGGCAGCCCCTTCAAGAGAGCCTATTCGGTTCGCCCTGAGTCTCCACTGTAGACCGACATTTGTTGACAAGTTTCGTGACATGGATGACGTGGATGAATGCCGTCGCTTACTTCTACGATCAGATGAGGCGTCGGCTGTGCGTAGGTAACCGTTCCGCTCGCCACCTAAGCGTGTCACACTCCAAACAGATTTATCTTGGCAAGAGGTTCCATAGAGTCTCTTGCACTTATATAACTCAGATCCACGACTCCAAGGAACGGCTCCTCACCGGTCCCCTCGTGAGGTGTGCAATATCCATGAGCCTTTCGGTGGCCTTTTCGAGCAATCCGCGCGCCTCCGCAACCCGCCGCTGCTCCACGCTTTCCAGCTCAGTTCCTAGGCGTTCGATTAGCGCCTCGCGGTCGGGGAACCGGCCTGCGACAACGGTCCAGATGCGCTGAATGTCGTCGAGCTGCAGGTAATAAGTGTTTTCTTTGAGTTCTATAGTGAGAGGAACATTGTCGACGGAGAAAGCATGACGAGGAGAGCAATATGTGGAAAACGCAGGGAAGGCAGGCGAGAGGTCTTGACGGAGTGAAACCTCCAGATCCTTCATTGCCGCTGAAAATGAGCATGCCTAGTCCCTGATTTTAGCAAAGGGCGATAAGCCGTTTGTTTCGGCAGCTTCGCCAAAGCATAGTGTCACGAAGAGAAGAAAGGTGATGCGGGCGATTGGATACATTTTTTCGACTTTGAATGACAAAGAGCAATGGTTCACTAGGTTGCCTCTGTGCATATGCAAAAGCTTTGCATCGTCAGGAACCTGACTGTGATAGGCACGATCGGATATCGGATTGGCGCAGATAAGGTTGACTCTTACGCTGAGAGCCCCCAGCTGATCCCCCATCATTGGGCCCAGGACTTCCAAGATTTCCTGCTCGCTCGTCTCCGCGTCTTCCTTGAACTTTCCAACCGCCTGCCCGATCTCCTCCTCACAGCGTCCCTCAAGCCTGAACAAAAAGCTGTTGTTTGAATGCGAATTTGATTGAGAGCAACACCAACAGCAATTTGCAACTCTGACCAACACAGCAACTCGCATTCCTCAAGACCCCACTTCCGCATCCAAACATGTGCTGCGCCTAGCTATCCTCCCAGATATTGAGACTTTCGCCCCAATTTCTACCCGCACAAAGCGGTCCACACGGATCTTCCTCAGGAAAAGTTCGCTCACGTCTTTCTGGCCGCCCCGTAGTCCGCCCACGTTGCCTCGTGACTTGTCATTTTCCTCTCTAGCATCGCCTGCACTCCTAGCATCTTTCTCGTTCCCTCCTCCCCCCCAACCTTGTTCGCTTGCAAGCTGCTCAACGCCCGCACCTCCGTAGCCGCCGCATCGCCCTCTCTAGTTACTTCCGACCCTGCAAGCTTTCCAGAGCCCGACTGGCTGGACAGAGCTCCCGTTTGCCTCCCCGTTTTCTTGGGGCTCGTTGCATTCTTTCCTGTGCTGCCCTTGGATCTGACGCCACTTCCGCTGGACTTTGTTGTTGACTCCCCTTTTCCTGAGCTGCTAGTTGGTTTGTCACTGTGCAAGGCTCTGGCGTTGCGCGTGGCTTGCAATGTGGAGGAAAGTGACTGTTCCGCTTTGAAGAATAGTAGCGGGGATGCGGGGGGGCTGCCTGTTGGCAATGAGCCCACAACGGAATCCATAGTGGTTGTCATGCTTCCGGCACCGCAGGGTAACATCAGCCAACCTGCAAGCACTCAAGATGGCTGATCCAAAAGTAGAGACGCATCATGTCTGCAGCTTTTAAGTGAGGTGTCTTACAGCAGATTCAGAACTTCGATTGTGCAAACGGGCATGGTCAGCCTCCCCTGTTCGTATTGCCAACCTTTGACACGTGGCAAGAAAGCTTTTGTAGCGGCAAATAAGTTTCACAGAAGCTTTCTGAAAATGTGCTATATCAAGCTGGTATTTGCAGCTTTCCAAGCTGCTGTCAACGAGCTGGGAACTTGGCACTGGTACCGATGTTCAGCTGTGGTAAAAGGGCGACCAACCACCAGTATGAGAGACATCATTCTTGTCTTCCTGCATTGCAGTCTGGCAGTCATCCCAGAAAGCTGGGAGAGTTGGGCTGCTACGTGGAAATGATCAAGCTTTCAAGTCATATCACTTTCAATACTTGTGACAACGCATGGCAATGGGCTGACCTCAGGAGAAGTAGGATGTGGGGCAAATTTGGCAGCCTCGCTACAAGATGGCCACCTCCGCAGAGGCCCCTCAGTTTTTAAACCAAGTACAAAGCTCAGAGCTTACACCCTGCATGCAGCATGAATGGTGTTTCAAGGCTATTCGCCGCCACAACCAGATCGTCATGCCTTCTGCACTCTATTCAAAGTTTGCAACCACGAAGACAGCTCAAAGTCCCTAAATGCTAATCTGATGAACAGGTTCCGCCTAGCTACGCCCCTTTTGCCCGCAATCCTTTTGCCCCGCAACCAGTCTGATCAGTTTCTCCTGCTGGCACCAGGAGATTGTTAATTTAGCGGCTGTTGACATCAGTGTACTGAGCACGCAAGAGTCACGACTCAAGTTAAAGTCGAGTGTCTAAAGTGGAATCAACCGACGGTTGCTTACGAGTGCTCTGATTGGCTTGCGATTGCCACGTGCTTCTCGCAGCGAATCAATTGGCTCCCTGCAATCTGCTTCCAGAAACCTTGCGCAGTGCATTCGTTTTCCCATTCTTGCTCGCCTTCTCCGACTTTCAAGCACATGTTTCGCAAGTCGTACCTCCAATTGAGTGGCCTCATCTGTTATGGCGGCCAGGTTGCAGATTGCTTGTCTGCGTGCAATCAGGAGATTAGGAACGCCTATTTGTGCTTCAGTGGCTCCCTTGCAAGAGAAGCCAGCTGTTCTGGTGTCCATCAACTTGTGTCAGGAAGCCACCAGCAATTGTGAGCTGCCTTTGATACATGCTCCGACAAGGAAAGAGGAAGCAGCTCATCCTTGCAAGCGTTCATGTATTTCAGACAGTCAAAGAGTTCCTGCTTATACAGCAGGGAAGATATGGAGGCAAGGGTTTGATACAGCTTTTCTTGTTCCAAATGGCTCCGATGGTGCCAGCTTAACCTGGCGCCGATATTTGAGAACAGAGGTTGTCAAGGAAGTGGCGGTGGAGCGTCTGGAGGGGGACCTGAAAGGTAAGTGAGCAGGAATATGCCATGAAGAACATACACTGAGGGGCCAATATCAAGCAAAACCACCCGACAAGTTTTCAATGCAGGCTGCTCAAGAATTTCAAGTCTTCAGAGGAATATTAAGGGCATAGCGTTTCAAAATCCAACATTTCTTTCTTGTGCTTGATGGGAAGAGCTGCAAGGTTGATAACAATGCATGCTGCAATGATGAGACATGTTACGAAAGTTCTGGTGGTAGTACCATCGCTCTGAAATGCTTGGTTCATATTCAGAGAATCAAGATGCAAGGAACCAAAGCTGACTGGCATCGCTGCCCCACTGGGAACACGCCCCTGCCCCTCTAATTTGAGCTTTAAACACATGGAATATCATGTGGCGCAGGGGTGGTAGCGGTGTCATTGCAACGCCCCCATGCAAAGAACGCCCTCGGGCGGACGCTTCTGGAGCAGCTCGAGGAAGCAATTGAGAGTATTCAGAGGGACGATCAAGTCAGGGCTGTCATACTGCACAGCAATGTTCCGAAGGTGTTCTGCGCTGGGGCGGACCTCAAGGTGACTCCAACTTCCATGCTTTACGGGCATGCCGGTCGTCTGTGCGCTGCTTCTTTACAGAGTGACACTGTACATTGAAAGTGCAATGTATCATCAAAGCAATGCTTGTAGTCCCTGGTCGGGACTGTCAAGGCTCGTTGAAGACATTCGCCAGGGCAACACAAAGCCCTCTTGCCTGGATTTGAGAGGACAGGAGAGCTCACATCTAAGTTTGACCCAAGTGTTGAACTCAGGAATGCACCGTGATGTAGTTGCTTGTTACAGAAGGGACCGTGCCAAAACGGTTTGAAATCCCAACCTGCAGGAGCGGAAGGAGATGACTCAAGATGGGGTTCAGAAATTTGTGCGGCAGCTCGGAGCAGTGTTCAAAGCTTTGGAGGTGCGCATGTCCGTCAGCTTTTCATAGTCAGCCTCACTGGGGCTCCGCACATACAATCAGATGCTTCTTGCTCTCTGCCCCATTCGACCACTACAAAATGCTGCGTTCCTACGTTTCTCAAGGACCTTGCGAAGCACTTGCCAAATCTGCACAAGTCAGGAGACACTTTCTGCAGGAGCCGAATGCGTCAGGTTTGTGCAGGACCTCCGAGTTCCTACAATTGCAGCAGTGGAGGGCCACGCTCTAGGAGGCGGGCTTGAGTTGGCGCTGTCATGTGATCTACGGGTGGGGGGTGAGAATAGCAGTCAATATAAAGGAGTTTGCGGGCTTGTAATGGCGGTTCCTTCCTTGTTGTTGACGTGCTGATTATTGAGGATTACTGGTGACGCCACAGTGTGCAGCATAACCTTGTGTGAGCAATCGTCTATGGCTCTAGGCGCGTGCAAGTTGATTCTATCACGTTCTTCCACTCGCCTCCTCATTCCTCCCGCAAGTTGTTCTGACTGGATCCTGATGCACAATCTTAATCATGGCTGTTATCTCCAAGTTTTAAACTTCGTCTCAATCCTGACATCACAGCATGGCCACCTCACAGGTCAGAATACCAGGCTAGGTTTGCCGGAGACAGGGCTGGCCATTATTCCAGGGTAAGACCCTCCGTGCTGCTTTCCCTCAGCACAAGTTTAGCAAACGTCCCGTTGTGGCTACCGCCAAACAACACGGACATTTAGCTCATTGTCTGGATCGAGCGCCGGACTTCCAGACTGTTGCTGCGTCCAGGAAGAGTGCCTTAGTCAGCCCCTCGTTTCAAAGATCAGCACTCATGCAAGTTCGTCAGGGACCGCTATTCAATCAAGTATGACTCTCTCGCTCTCCGAGCAGTTCTCTTTCGCCATGAGATCCGGGATGGGACCTGTTGATTGGCGGGATAGCAAAATCTGCACCTTGTAACCCGCAAGTGGAAACCGTTCCAGGAGTAGGAACTAGAGTGGGCCCGACACTTTTGAGATTGAAAGGAAAAACGAGCTACCGGCAGGCAATCGGTCTACATTCTTGGGTGTGTGCAGGGCTGGGGGAACGCAAAGGTTGCCCCGGCTGGTGGGCGTTTCGAAGGCGAAGGAGCTCATTTTCACGGGGCGGATTGTGGACGCGCAGGAGGCCTACCGAATAGGTATGGCAATTCATTGTTTATCTTGTTCCTGGCAGTTTCATTGTCTTTCGGGTTGAATGACTTGACGAAACGATGCTCACCGTGTGCGGGGCATGCCAACCAGCTTTGCATGGGCGGGATTCGATTACATTCGAGTCGCACGCTGCGATCTAAAGATGGTTAGAAAGCGTGGCCACTTTTGTGTGGGCACATCTAGGTAGCTCTCAAATCGACTGCAGAGACAAATCGAGAGATCTAAAGAAAGCTGTCAAAAAGGACGTAAAAAGTGAAATCCGGGATTTCTCGTGCGCGTCATTCACTGGAAAGTGAAGGCTAGGCTGAGCGTCCCAGTTCCGGCCTCTGAACCCTGCTCCGTAACGGAATCAGGTGTGCTCAACCACTTGGTGGGTCCCGGGGAAGCCTTCGACAAGGCCCTGGAACTCGCCGCCGAAATTCTGAAAAAGGTGAGTCCACGTTCCGCGCTTGTGGTGACGTAAGATTGTCCCAACAGGGCGTTGCTGACTGTGTGCTCGGTGCTATTTTCATAATGCCCTCCTTACTTCCGCCTCGAAAGGTTTGTGACTGCGTTCTCGGTGCCAGTTCATGAATCATACTTTCAGAAATCACGTCGGCTGCAGAGGTTTAAAGACCCGCAGGAACGATGCCGTCATCAGTTGCGTCATGGTGTTCGCATCTCCTACATCTGTTCTGAGTAGGAGACTAGAAAGAGACACTAGGTCTTTCATGGTATTAGTGCCAGCTCGTGCTAAAACGCCGAAGCTAGTCGTCTAAGCCCGATTGGAGCTGTCAAAGCACGATAGAAGCCGAACAGTGTCTCCGGCCATGCAAAAGAAAGATCGAGCGTCCTTTCTTCAACCACATGAGGCGGATCAGCATGCCTCTCAATTGATCTGAACGAAGCAAAATCGAGCCGAAACACAAAGTGAGCATGTTGGTGAAGTCTCTAGGTTTTGCAACGATTTGCAGGGCCCTGTCGCTATCCAAGCGGCCAAAGCGGCCATCGACCGGGGCATCGAGGCGAAGCTCGTAGACGGGTTGCAGATCGAGCAGGAGTGTTATGCGGAAACTCTGTCCACGCGCGATCGGTTGGAGGGGCTGGCCGCATTCGCTGAGAAGCGAGCGCCTGTGTACACCGGCAATTGATCATAGCATGCGGCGCCCCGCTATTCTGCCGTGTCGCGTATCCCGTTGAGAACGTCCCAAGCAGAGATTGCGAGACCCCTCAACTTGTACAAATAGATGGCCGCGGGCGGCTCGCCCTGCCAAACCCGTATGTAGATCACAGTGCACATGTTTAATTGGCTTCAATTGCTGCGTGGTGCCAGGTGACGCACGGTCCTATCGTAAGGAGGCATGCGTATGCTGAGTCTATGCCTATAGTCCAGCTCTCAAGCAAGGCACGCCGCGTGTCTCTTTCGACAGGATCGATCAAGGCAAGCGCAGCCTTTCCTGGCAGCGCACTGAGTTATATGCACATGGACGGTCATGGCGGCAGGCTCACATGCAAGCTTGAGCTTGAGGCCAGGTCTCAAGCCTGCCAAATAACTTTTTTAACGGACGTGTCGCGAATTGATGTATGCCGCATCGGAATTTTAAGAAAATGCTTCGAGCATGCAGTGCCGCAAGAGACTCTGAGTCTTGCGAGTGAGCACCATGCATGCATGCATCATTTACGTTGTATATAATGGAGCTGTACGTTGTGAAAACTGCAGAGCGCCTACGCGCAATGGCACGACAGAGGATGCCATTAACAAAACGCGAGTCAACTTTACGGATCCAAGGCTCCTGATTGTCGATTCACTGCTATGTTCAACGGTCAAGTGTACGTCTGAGACCGGTTTATTTCCGAATGGTGACAAAGACAGTCAGTACGCTGTAAACTGCTTGCGCAATCGTACATCTCTTACACACTCTCAAGTTGGAATCTCAACTCACTTCCACAAAAGATGATGGATCATTTCAAAACCAACATCCCTATGTATCTCTCAGTGTATTTACAATGCTCAGTGGCAAAAATGTATCCGCTCATTTAGTAGACGAAGGGCATCACAAACGCGGCTTTCAGATGAGGATTAGGACTCCGTCAAAAATCCTAGCAAGAGCTCATTAACCTTGTCGGGCGCACTCCACGTGACAAAGTGGCTGTCGCACTCAACACGCTCGTACCTGCACGCAATCCATAAAGCAGCTCAGGAACGAATCGTAGCTAAGTTGCGCATGCAAGCCCTAGCTTTGCATCTTCGTGAAAGAACAGAGAAGAGCTGATGCGAACATCTAAAGCTGAACGGCTCGCAAAATATGACTCAGTAACTTTCTTTTGATCCTGATGCTCGCCTGATGAACTTTCGTCTACATTTGCACGTCCTCGAGCAACATATAAGAGCAGCTGAAGGCACGAACCAGAGCGGAACAGAATCAGGGACATGAATTCTATGGTTAGAAGCATTACAGATGCTGCTGTCATTAGACAAACCTGAAGCGCCCCTTTACAAAGGCCTCAGAGCCTTTCGCCTGGGCCTCGCAGCAGGCATAATGGTCTCCGGTCGGCCAGATCATGAGCGTATCTACTTCCACCGGGGGCGTCTGCGTGATGTAACCCGCCACCATCTTCTCGGGCGTGACGTTTGCCCTGCGTTGTTGACACAAGAGCTGCTTTGTCGCAGCTTCAGGCGCCACTCCGTCATGAGGCGATACAACGTTCAGTCGAGAAACGACATGGTTGTCCAGAAAGGCTTTCTTGACCGACTGTGTGCTGTTTCACCCTGGTAGACTGATTGGCTGCCGGTTGCAGCTCCTGGCTTGGGTTTCGACATTCACGCGGGGGGACCGTGCACGTGCGACCATCAACTTATTGTCTGTGCTGAAGGTTACGGCCGTTGTCAAACATGAAGCTCAAGTGGATACTATTGACCTATAGTTTAGGTAGGATAGTTCTAGGTACGATATAAAAAAAGGGTCCGGGGAACGGGTGGGGTTACTTTGGGGGTTAGGGTGGGTACGGGTGCGGAGCAGGTTCAATTCTTGGTTTGGGTCTTTACTTTTGTACCTCCCCGGGGACTCTACTATCATACCCAGAGACTAACCTACGAGGAGTATGCGGAGACTGCCAGTGCCTTTTGAAGAGCACTTGATCACAAAGAAACGGGCAGCTGAGCTGAGGATTTCAAACATACACCAGCACTCGTCACTGGCAGCACTGGGGCCTACCTGTACCAGTTGAGGCCTGCTGTGGCGTTCCCCGGCTTCGCCAGGTCAGCAAACATCTGTACGAACTCGTCCGTGGCAAAAAGGACCATCTGGGAAGCAGGGGTGACCTTGGACAGAACGCTGCCGTCCGTAATGACTCGTTCGGCCAGCCCCTCGTGCAGAAAGATAAGCATGTACCTGTAGGACTGACAAGTTTGCAGCTGCCACGTGTGGTCGCAAAAAGCGTGAGCGTGTTGCTTATATGGTGACGGATGCAAAGCATCGAATAAGTGCTGCGTTGAGCCGCTAGGACAGCAGCGGGTAGTGGACCGGAGTATGCAGTGTGTTTGCGTAGATGCGTCCATTCGTGTGAAAGTAAGAGTTTTCGAATCTGATTGTTCAATCTGTTTGGTCAGCATCACGACTTTGGCGTTGCAAGCGGCCTTCTAAATCGACTACTCTTCTTCTGACCTTTGATAGGAAGTCGCTGAGCAGAAGACATAAATGAATCAATCGGACGAGAAAAATATGGTCAAACGGATAGGATGTCAGAAGCGACATATCACCTCTTTTGAATGAAGGTCACAAGTCTCACCATGAAAGCTGTTGCTGCTCGCCCGTATTGAAGTACTGGGCCGGATGGCCTACGGATAGTGCGACAAGGCGGGTCGTCCTCTCAGGGGCCAACGCTGCACAGACGAATGAACTTGGTTCAACATGCCACGCAAAACATATACAGAGCTTTCCTGATTCTGCTTTCACGAGTCAGTCGTAAGACATTTCTGACATCAAAACGATGACTGCCTCAAAGGAGAATTGCATTCATATGAGAGTACTGGAGAAGCAACGCGGTGAGCAATGGATGTTTCGTACTTCGACAAGCAGGTTGTTCGTCCCATCCTGCAACCAGCCTGATAGGAAGCACCGAAGCACGTTTCACAAGGGTGACGTTTGGCCCCCACCTGCAAAGTGCCACGCCAAGCCGGCGCCCCAGTCATGCCCCACGACCACCGCCTTGTCTACGCCTAGTTGGTCCAGAACCTCTGCAGCAATGTAAACCAGAATTTTCAGTCCATGACGAAATCTTGATGTGAATCGCCGATTCACATCAGCTGCTTTTGCCAGAGTCTGGCAAAAGCAGCTGATGTGACGGAGCCTGCAGCTTGAAAGAGAAAAGTAAAACGTAATCTGCTTGGTAAGCCAAAGCAGAACTCTCGAAATTGATTAAGCCGGATCTTAAGAGATGGAGCCTTGTCTCCGAACCTGGAGCAGGATGCCACACCCAGTATGATCTTTTCGAATGTCAGCGTTGTTAGTGGATTTTGAGCTAGGAAAATAATCAGGTGCGGTGGACTGTGCCAAAGAGGCAAGGGAGAGCTTTCGACACTACCTTTCAGCATGGTGACTTGGTTGTCCAGAGTGTAGGGCTCCACATCCTGAGGCTTGTCACTCCCACCAAAGCCCAGGAGATCAGGCACGATAACCTGGAAACCATGGTCCACCAAGAAGGGAATCTGCATAACGATGCAAGGCAACTTGGTCAGGGGCCAATCATGATCCATGACGGATGTATGTAACCTGATGTGATTTAGGCAACATTGTCTGATGTGGACGATGATACACTGTGGTGTAACGCTTCCGAGATGCTCAGCCATTGCTATTGTGAGCATCATCTTGGTCTCTCTGCAAAGCTACCATTTCTCCAACGAGGCCAAAGTTAGTGGCCAGCCCATAGCTGAGCGAGAGTAGCACATTTCCCTGCAGCAGCAACATTGAGATTTCCTCGTGCAATGGCACAGTGTGAGAAAAATTATGTTTCAGACTTTTGTGAACCATGATTTGCATTAGGGCTATCTTGATAAAGTTGGATAAGAAAGTGTTCAAGTGGTGCTTTGAAAAGCAGTGCGCTCACCTGATGCTTGTAGAGTGTTGAGGAGTTGGGAAAGCCATGCAGCATGAGAACTGCTGGGCCCTTTCCTCTGTTGACCACATTGAGATTGTGTCCTCCCGCCTTTACGATAGTGCCTGCACCAGGCTTGGAGACTGAAACAAGCCCTTACAGGAGTTTCCTTCATCGGCCATAGTAAAGCTTGTGTGTCCCTTCATTGGTCACTCCCCAAGAATGTTGAGACCATTTCTCTCTGCCAAAGACAGCCATCGCATTCAGAACTTGCTCGACCAATTACTTCCCTAGAATTTCTTATCAGGTCAAAGAGTGGACATGTCTGATCCTCACAGAATGCATCTGAAGGGACTCTCGATCATGCAGTATTTGCGAAGATACATCTGTACACTTTGCGAGTATGATATCAACAAAGTCAAAATATCCTTTTAACTGCAAACTGCCTCTGCTTTTGATAGACTCAACTGGCGGCCAAGGCCACTGTCAGCTGCAGAGTGCTAAGTAAACGTCAGTGTAAAAGGCATGCATCATGTTATAGCCATCTTCGACGCTCCTATCGTCAAAATATTTGTTGGAGTACTGGCCAACTTTGGAGCTTTGCACATCAAGTGTGGGCTAGAAGTGAAACAAAAGGGTGTCCTGCTGTTATGTCGGAGCTTGAGTGCTGCATTCTCATCTTGCCACAAGTTCATAGGGGGATGTTTCCAGCTGCCTCGTTTTATTACTTGGAGAGAATGTAAGAAAAAGGATTGATCACAGAATTATGGGGCTTTTCACTGAAGACCACTTTCTTCTTAAGAAGATGGTGCAAACGAGCTTTCAGTTTTGAAGTCTGTTGTAAAGATGGTGTCCGTAAAGTGCTGCCAATGTTTGCCAACTTTATTTGCCACCTTGTTTGTGTGTCGACCACATTGAAATATGAACTTTTTAAGAGAGCGAATTAGCTTCATTGTGATGCTAGTGCCAGCATTTGGCTGGTGCTTAAAAACCATTGTAAGAGCACAAAGTGATTGGATTCCCAAGCCCACGTGCTCGAGGATCACGTCAGAGGAGGAGGACAAAAGAAGCGACAGACATGGACTTTGTCCAACTCACCTTTCAAGAGGTCATCAGACGGGGCGGACTCCTGATGTGCAGCCATTCTTGGAACGTTGCAGGATGTTATGGACGACCCGCCGTGCAGTGGACGCCGCGTAGCTGGACGGATTTAACACAACCTCAGCTGCTAGCTAGAGGAGCTTTCCTAATGGGGCGCGCTAGCCAACGCTATGCGAATCAGGGAATCTGCTGTAAATGCATTGAACGTCAAAGGACAAGGATATCAAGGATACCAAAGTTTGACAGGGATTTGTATTCTGAAGTTAGTAGCTCAGCTGCTCAGCGCTGAGCGCCATTGGCCCATATTGTTCCTTCAACAAACTAGCAACAAAGGGATGCCAGTCAATGATGGTCAATGATGTCATCTTTGCAGCTGATCGCAATGCGCATCTGCGACGGACTCCGACGTTGTACGGTAGTTAATACTGCGGTCAGTACAAGTCAAAGGGCCGTACAGGTCGATCTTGATTTTACTTTTCGGCTCAGCTGTATCTGCCTTAAACCCTTGGGTTATGTCAGTCAGGACTCAGGAATCAGGATACCCCCGTGAAATTTCTGTGCATGTCTTGCTGACTCTTGCAATAATAATTGCTGATGGATGTCCTGAGTCCTGACTCATATTACTGCTTAGGCCTTGTAGCTGAAGCCTAACTGCGTTGAAGCATGTATTATGTGCTTTCCAGGATAAACCTCGTCCCATGCAGCCGAACTCGTGACGGAATCACCGGATTAGGCAGGAGGCTTTCGAAATTTGGTAGTCGAGCCCTTTTGAGGTTTAGTGCGAGTCAAATCTTACTTGAAGTTCCGCACATGAAGATGGCTATGCCTGCTCGAAGGCGGCGATGGTTGCATGCACTCAAATTTGGAATCAAAAAGCGCAAGCACCTGCTGCTTCGGAGTGTGCAGCAATTAATACCGTACGCATGTACTTGCTGCATGGTCGGATCATGTAACCGGTTACGTTTTGTCACAATCACCGATTGTAGTTCTGGAGTAGAATATCAATCAAGAAAACGACCTTTGCATCAAAAAATCACGAACCATTCAAGCTTGTGGGTGCAGCACAAGGGGTTGGCAAAGTCTCTCAGAGTACATACATCGTCAATATTCCGGTTCGTAGACATGGCATGGTGCTGCGCGGCGTCGTAAGGTGTCGCGCCAGCATGATAGTTTTTCTGCTTTACTTCCTTCCAAATCAGACAGGAGTCAAGTCGATTTCAGAAGGATGTATTCCTTGTATCACAATAGCTCTCATATACGTCGTCCCAAAAAGCTTTCGCATGTCAAGATTGGGATGCACGCTTGCCTAGACATCCTCCGAGAAAGACACTTCGAGTGCTTCTATCAGCTCCTCCTTCTTCAGTGTCCACATCCCCTTAATTTTCCGCTCCTTTGCAAGCTGCCTCAGCTCTCCCAGCTTCATGTTATGCAAATCCGACTCTCCGCTCGCCCATTCCCCCTCATCTTCCAGATCCGAGGCCCCTGTTCCGCTCCCAACGACATCCCCGACCAACTTCTCTACCGTTCTTTCCACAGCCACCGCAGCCTTTGCCACTCCGTTCGTTACAATCCCCGTCAGATCCTGGATAACCCGGGGGCCTGGCTTCCGAGCGCCCCGTCCTTTTGCCGTGATTGGCGACGCTCTCTTGAAGGTGGTCGCCGCCCGCTTTGGCTTGGCTGCCCTCTCGTCTCCCGTAACGTCTCTCGTAACGTCCTTCTTGGACGAGGCAGGATCTGGTGTCTTCCGGGCGGGGCGCCCGGCAACTGGCGATGCTTTCTTGAACGCAGTCGCCGCGCGTTTTGGCCGGGCTGCTCCGTCTCCTTTTGCAAGTTCCTTCTCGGACAAGAAAGATTCTGGTACCTTTCGGGCAGGGCGCCCGGCAACTAGGGATGCTTTCTGGAATGACGATGGGGGCCGGCTCGACCGACTTCCAGTATCCACTGCCGGCTCTGCTTTCTCAGTCTCGAGTTTTCTTGGAGGTTTCCTGAGGATGGTTGACTTTTTGCTGAATGCCGATGGCAGTCGGCTCAACGCTTTCGGCTCGTCATCGCTGGACGCTTTCTGGCCGGAGCTCGGGACTGCAGCCCTCAACTTCCGACCCCCGGCGACCGGCGACCTCCGCAAGAACTGAGATTTGGGGCGCAACCGGTCCTGGGTTGGAACCGGGGCCTCGGTTCTCTCGCGCACTCCCGTCAGAGGTGCCCCCGCACTTGGCTTGCTCTTCGCCCCTTGTGCAGCAGTTACTGTCGGCGACACAGCGACCGGGGTTTCTGAAGCTGGCGTCCTATTTGAGGAGTGTGGTATCGGGGAGCGGCGCACGAAAGTCGATGAGGGACGGCGGGGTTGAGAGGGCTCGGGGGCGGGTTCCTCAACGGGTTTGGACTCGGCGGTCTTTGCTCGGGAGGGGCGTTTGGGCACCGAGGAGCGCTTTGCGAAGCTCGACGACTGGGGTCGTGACTGCTCGCCCTGGGTTAAGGTGGGAGAGGGGGCCGGCTCTGGAGCGTAGGGGCCGAAGGTAAAGAGCTGGGAGCCATCGGAGAGGCCTGTAGAGAAGGAAAGCTTTGAGAGTGAGAATGTGGTGGGCAACGAACGACCATGAAGAAGGCTTGGGAGTCTGCGTTCAGAAGAGGACTAGGTAGGGTGGAAAGACAGGAAACCAAAGGCAACGGGGTGTGTGACAGATCAGCAATGTTTTCTGCGCGACTAGGTTGCTGATAGATTGCAAGTATGGCGATGTGATAGGCAGTGACGCAGTGCTGTCAAAACACGAACTACTCTTCAATAACAAAAGGGAGCATTTAGTGGCACCACCGAACGAGGAGCTGAACAATGTAGTACTGAGTGTCTGAAGACAGCCTTGATGTGGGGCGTTCACGAAGTAGAGGCTGACAGCGTTCTGATTGAGAAGCTTCAGGTATAAACCTACATTCCAAGCTTGAAATGACAGTCCTTTGCAGAGTGCCACCAAACTGTGTGCAGATGACCTACAAAGCATTGTGCTCTCCAGGAAAGAGAACCTTCAAACCCTGGTGGCAATCTGCTTCTTCAATGGCTGGATTGGGTAGAGTGACAGACAAGTGGCGTAAAATTCCTCAGTCTTCCTGCGTGAGCAACTTTCTCTCCATTGCTTGTGCCCAGTAGAGGTTTACAGGAGCTATGCCCGTTACTCAGCAGATTCTAGGTCTGCTAGCAGTAGTAGCAGTTTTCAAGCTTGTCCCTGATAAGCTGGTCAGTGCAGGGAAAGCCCCAAAAGTCTAAAAAGGTCAAATGGACAAAGTCTACAGATGAGCCAAGTGCTCAGACCAGATCAATTCACACCTGCCTGCAAAAATACTGGTGCCATCAATGTCAAAAGTCATGTTGTGATGACAACCAGCTGCAGAAGAGATTTGAAGGTCCAAAGGCTTGGAACTGACCCATAAACACAATTCGGACAGATTCATTACATTCAATAATAAAGAGCAGAGACTCTGTCATTTGACGAACACATATCCCTGTGCAGAAGCGAAGTACAGAACATGCCACCATGTGAGCAACAAATCGCTATTGTGCAATTGCCAATTGTGCGCTAATAGGAGGCCCTCCATCTCTCTTAAAAGCACATGCTGCATTTGCAGCTGTGGTAGGAATGAGCAGTAAGCAGGGACTCATGAGACGGATGAAGGCGCCTCTTTGCACATTGCTTCATCGATCAGCTCAGCTCAAACGCTCACACTCTAGTCCACAAACCCTTTCTTCCTGATTGCAATGAGCGCACTCACGCTTGATTTTGACAATGTCGATGTCATCACGATCCTGCGCCGCCGTCAGCAACGCTGCTCGTTTGCGAACCAGAGGGGGACCTTGTGCTTTGCTCAGCATCCGCCCATCCCTGTGAAAGCATCCTCCTCTTCCCGGGTATGGCACGCTGCAGAGTCTCAGAGGCAAACCAGTTTCTGGAACAGCGCTTGGGGCCCTCGTGGTCACATTCCTGCTCAGGTTCAAGGAACCCACTGTCGCAGCACCTCTTGCCATCATGGTGGTAATGCACGAAGTCATCTATTCCTTGTCATGCTTTTCCACAATGGTGCCCCCAGAGCAGCATGCACAACGCAACAACGCACACCTTGGCGCCCTGTATTTTCTGCTGTTCATTTCCCACCGACGGCGAAGGCCACCACCACCGGCCTAGCAGCTGCCTCCAGCTCCAAGCGCCAGGTGGGCGCCGGCGGCCGTGGAGGTGGAGCCGCGGCCGCGAACCCGCGTGCATGATGCCGGCCGCCCGGCCGCGCCGCGGTGACTGGTGCCGCCCATGGGGGCCGCGCGCGGCGCCTTTCAACAATGGGTACGTCGACTTCACTAAGATC